ATGTGGAGGGAAAAGCCAGCCACGGAGAAAAAAAAATCACGCGACCACGGGGAGAACACGCAAACTCCAAATATACAGGCCTAAGGATCGGGATCGAGCCCACGACCTTCTGTATACCAGGCGTGGTAGTTAACATCTCGCCACCGTGGCGCTCAAATGACACGTGAAATAACATTTCTCCACGTGCTTCTTCTCGGCCGGCTGTGACGTGGGTCGTGAACTTGAACAAGTTCGTCACCTTTCTACACGCGCCAGCAGTCCGCCCGGTGTTCGCTCCGGAGATTAAATAATTAATTGGGATTTCTGCGGAAACCTTCCAGAACTTTCCGAGCCTCTACCAACTGTTAATAACACCGTGGCTTTTAAAGGGGAGAAGTTAAAACAAATACACTCATAAGGCGACGTTTCGGGCAATGGCCCTTCATGTACATTAAAATCTTCTCAATATCAAAATAAGCTCAAGCCTGCAGTAAATCACGTGGCCTCTGGGTGACCATCCCAACTCTGAAACCCTCTCCTCTCCCCGCCGCCCGCTGTCAAACACAGCCTGCTGCTCATCCGTGCATCTGTGCCCTGACGCAGCCTTTTAAATCCTTTATATTAAGTTCACTTGCTTGCTTGCTTGCGCGCTTACGACCGTGCAAATCTTTCGGTCGTTTTTTAACCCACTTCCCGTGATCCAATCGAGCTGACATTTTGCACACAGACTCGTTGTGCGTGACAATTTATTTTCGCGACTTCCACTTTTTAGGAATTTTTTTTTCATATTTTATTTAAAATACCAATGTGATAAAAATAAAACTCTTACTCAAGAAAAACAGAAATGAATAATAAAATAAAACCGATGCCACGCATATAAAGGATTTATAGTGAAAAACTTTGTTTTTACGGGTTAATTTTTTCCTCTCATCTCTCGTGCACCCTTTGCTCACCCTTTGCTCCCATTTCCTGTGATTTGTAAGAAAAAAATTGTCCACGCATTACATCCTTGACTCTACACACGCCTTGCCCGTGGCGTTCCACGGGGTTACACAGTCGCTCCGCCGGGCAGATGCGGATACCCTGACGCACAAATGGATTATTATTTTTAAAACCTCTCCAATACGCGGCTGTGGTAATTCAGAACCGATCATAACAACGCACAGCGACGCGATGCCCGAACCACACAGAGAAATGAAACATCACAGCGATACACCCCGCTGCTCCTGATGCGGTTATCTGCCTTGACGACCTGCAGAGCTATTATTTTGTGGCCAGGCGGCTTCTGACAAAATAAGTTGACATCTCAGTGGGCTCTGCCTGGTACGATGGGGAATGGTTTCGTTTAATTTGCATGTTTTGGGGTTATGTGTTTGCCTCTCCTGTGCTTTGCACTACTGTCGTGTTTTTGTCTTGTTTGTTGTTGTAACGTTCTTACTCGCCCCTACTGGATGTCTGTGAAAATAGCTTTATAGCTCATCGGATTCAGTAAAATTAACCCGTAAAAACAAAGTTTTTCACTATAAATCCTTTATATGCGTGGCGGCTAGAGTCATCTCGTCCTCTGGCTTGAGATGGCTGCCACCTATGGGTCAGATGATTGCCTGCCACCATTAAGCAATTGGTAATTAAATATAATTTTTTTTTTCATAAAAAGTGTAACATTTTGGAAAAAACTTTTCACGAAAATAAATTGTCACGCACAACGAGTCTGTGTGCAAAATGTCAGCTCGATTGGGTCACGGGAAGTGGGTTAAAAAACGACCGAAAGATTTGCACGGTTGTAAGCGCGCAAGCAAGCAAGCAAGTGAACTTAATATAAAGGATTTAATAAATACATCGTCTGATTCTGAACATGAAATTGTAGTTGTTGTTCTGCGTCTACATCAGCCGCCGTACGAAAGATGACAACTCGTGCCCACAGGAGCCGAATTGTTACCGCTCTTACACGCCCCTCCTGGACATCTGCGACAAAGAGCTTAATAGCTCATCGGATTCCTCGTGCGGTATTTTTTTAAATCGAGACTCCTCTACTTACGAGCCTTGTTAGGTTCCAGAGGTCTGTTGGTAAGTCGATGTATTCGTAAGTCCAACTTTACTCCTGTCGATGCCAAAGATGTACGGCATGTACACTAAACACGGGGAGTGGCTTTCTAAATTGTATTATCTCCTGTAGATGTAGATGCCACTGGTTCTTCACGTTCTGCAGATGTAGATGCCACTGGTTCTTCACGTTCTGCGGATGTAGATGCCACTGGTTCTTCATGTTCTGCAGATGTAGATGTCACTGGTTCTTCACGTTCTGCAGATGTAGATGCAACTGGTTCTTCACGTTCTGCAGATGTAGATGCCACTGGTTCTTCACGTTCTGCAGATGTAGATGCCACTGGTTCTTCACGTTCTGCAGATGTAGATGCCACTGGTTCTTTACGTTCTGCAGATGTAGATGCCACTGGTTCTTCACATTCTGCAGATTTAGATGCCATTGGTTCTTCACGTTCTGCAGATGTAGATGCCACTGGTTCTTCACGTTCTGCAGATGTAGATGCCATTGGTTTTCAAGTTCTACAGATGTAGATGCCACTGGTTCTTCACGTTCTGTAGATGCCACTGGTTCTTCACGTTCTGCAGATGTAAATGCCACTGGTTCTTCACGTTTTGCAGATATGTAGATGCTGCTGGTTCTTCACGTTCTGCAGATGTAGATGCCATTGGTTCTTCACGTTTTGCAGATATGTAGATGCCGCTGGTTCTTCACGTTCTGAAAATGTAGATGCCACTGGTTCTTCACGTTCTGCAGATGTAGATGCCATTGGTTCTTCACGTTTTGCAGATATGTAGATGCCGCTGGTTCTTCACGTTCTGCAGATGTAAATGCCACTGGTTCTTCACGTTCTGCAGATGTAGATGCCATTGGTTCGTCACGTTTTGCAGATATGTAGATGCCGCTGGTTCTTCACGTTCTGAAAATGTAGATGCCACTGGTTCTTCACGTTCTGCAGATGTAGATGCCACTGGTTCTTCACATTCTGTAGATGTAGATGCCGCTGGTTCTTCACGTTCTGCAGATGTAGATACCACTGGTTATTTATGTTTTGTAGATGCCACTGGTTCTTCACGTTCTGCAGATGCAGATGCCACTGGTTCTTCACATTTTGCAGATGTAGATGCCGCTGGTTCTTCACGTTCTGCAGATGTAGATGCCACTGGTTATTTATGTTCTGTAGATACCACTGGTTCTTCACGTTCTGCAGATGTAGATGCCACTGGTTCTTCACGTTCTGCAGATGTAGATGCCACCACCGCCATCTATTGCCCGGCAGCTGAACTTGCCACGCTCGGTCCGAACAGGTAACTTAGGCCACACCGACATGTTTGTTCGTATCGATGAAAGTTCGTAAGTGGAGTAGTCCCTGTACAGGCAATCCTCGCTTTACGCGCTTTTATGGTTACTCAATTTTGTATTTAGACCTTTTATTGACACACGCGAAGCAATTTTCGGAATAACGCCATCCGCAATGCGACATACACCACCCCTAGCCTGGCACCCAATGGCGGCGTTGCCAACAGCCAGTACACGCGCCCCCCACACGGCCCCCCCTCAACACGCGCGCACTGCCCACGTGTTGAGGGGGGGTGCGTGTGAGGTGGGGGGTGCGCGTGGGAGGGGGCGCGTGGGGGGTGCGTGGGGGGGGTGCGCGTGGGGGGGGTGCGGGTGGGAGGGGGGTGAGCGTGGGGGGGGTGCGTGGGGGGGTGTGCGCGTGGGGGGGGGGTGCGCGTGGGGGGGGGTGCGCGTGGGAGGGGGCGCGTGGGGGGTGCGTGGGGGGGGTGCGCGTGGGGGGGGGGTGCGCGTGGGAGGGGGGTGAGCGTGGGGGGGGGTGCGTGGGGGGGTGTGCGCGTGGGGGGGGGTGCGCGTGGGGGGGGGGGGTGCGCGTGGGAGGGGGGTGCGCGTGGGAGGGGGGTGCGCGTGGGGGGGGGGCGCGTGGGGGGGTGCGCGTGGGAGGGGGCGCGTGGGGGGTGCGTGGGGGGTGCGCGTGGAGGGGGGTGCGCGTGCGCGTGGGAGGGGGGTGCGCGTGGGGGGGGGGGGCGCGTGGGGGGGTGCGCGTGGGAGGGGGCGCGTGGGGGGTGCGTGGGGGGGGTGCGCGTGGGGGGGGTGCGCGTGGGAGGGAGGTGAGCGTGGGGGGGGTGGCGTGGGGGGGTGTGCGCGTGGGGGGGGGGTGCGCGTGGGGAGGGGGTGCGCGTGGGAGGGGGGTGCGTGGGGGGGGGCGCGTGGGGGGGAGGTGCGCGTGGGGGGGTGCGCGTGGTGTTGGGTGGGGGGTGCGCAGTGCACGCGGCCCCTTTAAACAGACCCCGTGGGGCCCGCTCACCCACACGCGCGCTTTGTGTATTCGTGCGCGCGTCGTAGCGCCGTCGTAGAAACAAGCGCGGCCCGACCTCCGAGTCCACGCAAGCCGGCCACAGTTCCCACGCGCGTCTCGTGTGGTGGTGGTTGTTGTTTTGTGTTCTCCTCGTTACGAATAAACGACGCGAAACCCGCCCTTCGCGTCCCGCAAAAAAAAATCAACAAAAAAAGCGGCGGACCAATAAACGGAACAAATTCTCGCGTCGAATCCCAAATGCGTCAACAACCGCACAGCCGTCGCGCAGTTCACACACCGCCACCACCAACAACACCACCAACAACAACACCACCAACAACAACAACAACAAAAATAATCCCCCTTCACCGTCCGCCGTAACGGTCGTGATACGGCCCTCTTTAGATTTCCCAGCGCGGATAAGCCCAGCGCGCCGCCCTAGCCGCGCGCCCATTGGCCGAGCGCGCCGCCACGTGACTCGAGCGGCACCCAATGGGCGTCGCCTTCCGCACGCGCGAGTGCACTGGGAATTACAAAGCGGGGCCTAGGCACAGCCTGGAAGCCCGCGGAGGCCGCTTTGTGTGGGCGCCCGACCGAGCGAGCAGATTTCGTTTCGTTAAAACATCGCCAAACGATTATAACGTTTCTTTTTAATTAATTAGATTCTCTTTAACAATTTAGTCGTTTTCAACAAAAACGGGATTCCTCCCTACCTACCACCCACACACAGCCTCAACTATCTCAAATGTATCATCCTTTGCGTCAAGCGCCCGCAATATACAGCAGCGCCACAGGAGATAAATAATCGGCCACATTTCATTTTCTTGTATCTCTTCAACGACACGTTACTCGAGCCGTTCGTTCTCCCTGTTGTTTGTTTGCTGCTGCTGCTTGACGGCAGCGATGTGGATTTAGTGCCGGCGTGCCACGGTGGCGACGGGGCACGATCAAACGACCGCCCTCTTCACCACCACCACCTCCTACCCACCCAACCACGCAGCCAAATCGACGACTCGTGGCCACTGCGACTCGTGATGGGAGACCACGATGAGTTCACGGCGCCCCCAGAGTGTCCCGTCTTCGAGCCCAGCCGAGAGGAGTTCGCCGAGCCGCTCGCCTTCATTGCCAAGATCAGACCCATCGCCGAGAAGACGGGCATCTGCAAGATACGACCACCCGCGGTAAGCAATTTAAACAACGCCGCCGTGGGCTTTCATCCACTGCTGGATGAGTGGGGGGTGATGATGATGATGATGTGAGGCTGCGTTGTCTTGTCGTCTGCGAGAGGGGGTCGTGGGGTCTGGTGGGTAGGAGAGTATATTGTTAGGTAAAAAAATTAAAATTCATAAAAGTAAAATAAAAATAAATTTAATTATTTTACTTTTATAAAAATTTTTACCTACGTGACTTTACCGAAAGAAACCTGACAATATGAATCCTTGCAGTCACGAAAGCTTCAAATCTAGGGTTGGAGAGTGTGTGTAGGGGGTGGAGTGGTACATACTTCACCACGCTGGGGGGGGGGAGGCGAGTGTGGGATGCCCTTCGCGAGGATCATTTTCGAAATGTTCGTTTTTATTTTGGATGAATCCGATGAGCCCCAAAGCTCTTTAATTTGTCCACACGACCAGTGGAGAGCGAGTCAGAACGTTACAGCAAACAAGACAACGTCGCACAGAGACCTGTAATGTATAGGAATGGTAAACAAACGCCTTTAACAAAAAGACGTACATACAAAACGAAGTAAATTTTAAACTAAAAATCTTGCCGGGTCAAGGCCCATTGAGCTATTCGCTTTTTTTCAGAAGCGACCGGGCCGCAGATGAGATGGCTCAACGAAAGTGGCTTATCACGTTGAAATGTAAAGCAACAAAATAATATTAAATAATGTCTCCTCGGACACTGATGGTAGCCGTGAGCGAGGGGGATCGAACTTGGGATCGATCGGCAGCGTGGTGCGAGATCCACAACATCGGCCATTTGCAAGATTGTGGCCCTCTCACCATAAACGCAGTGGTCGTGCAGTGTCAGTGTCGATCCGCTGCTAGATGACTGCCTTCTTCCCCCCCCCCCCCGATCTCCTCCTACACCTTGTCGTTCATTGGGGGGCTATTTCGATTTAAAGCTTTCGTGACTGCAGGGATTCATCTTCTTGGTTCTTTCGGTAAAGTCACGTAGAAAGGAAGTAATACAATAATAAAACTAAAATACAATAAAATAATTCTCACGACGTTTCGGCCACAACGCAAGCAGCCGTCCTCAGCTGAGGACGGCTGCTTGCGTTGTGGCTGAGGACGGCTGCTTGCGTTGTGGCCGAAACGTCGTGAGAATTATTATGTTTTATTTTTATTATTTGATTACTTCCCTTCTACGTGACTTTACCGAAAGAACCAAGAAGAACATTGGGGGGCTGTTTGGCCAGAGGGTTGGGATGGGGTGTGTGTGTGTGTGGGGGGGGGGGAGACTGGTTGTCAAAACGCCACTGATGTGAGCCGTGGCCGGAAAAGGAACGCGAGGAGGTGGTCGGATTTCGTGGAACAACAGCAGTGCCGCTAACCGCACTACATCCTCCCGCGGTGAGGCAGCAGGAGTCCAGACGCCACTGCTGCTGCTGTTGTTGTTGTCATCGTTTCACAGCTGGATGAGGGACTCTCCAATTCCCCCTCGTGCATCTGTGAGGGTCATGGAGAGGTTGTGCGTGGCCGTACTTGACCATGTTTAGGCTGTGGTTGCCCTCGGATCGGTTCAAGATGTTGCCTGTGTCAGCGAGTCGAACTTAGTTCGTTGTTGCGTCCTGCGCACCTCCGATCAGCACGGTGCGATGCGTACGGTGCGAAAGAAGTTCAACATACATTACGTTGTGTGGTAATGTTTGTATGTGCTACAACAATCTGACCAGTTGCAGTGTTTACATATCTGTTTACTGATGCACCTACCTAACCACACTTTGCCTACCTGTTCAACTGCACAGCTTATTTAAATATCTTCCCACAAACCCCTTTAGTTTCAGACTTAGCGCTTGAGATGTACTCGTTCAATAAGGTAATCGACACATTGAATATTTAACACCCAAGGTACGTGCATCGAATGGCGTGTGTAAGAAAGAATGTGTTTTTTGGGGTAAATATATTCAAGTTGAATGCGATCGATATCCTATTGAACACGAGCAAATTATCCAGAATGTTCCTGATCCTGTTAGATCTTGGAAGCTAAGCAGACTTGAGCCTTGTATAGTAGTGCTCGGATAGGCCACCACTATGCACGAAACAGGTCTTATAAGCTTCGGGGCCGCTTGGGGTGGGCAGGGATCAACATCCATTGTTTCTTTACACTGCTCCAACCGCAGAGGTCACAATCGGGTACCCGATACCCGTACCCTACCCCGTTACCCGGCTACCCGTACCCGGCCGGGTACAGGTATGGGTACCCGGTACCCGGCCGGGTACAGGTACGGGTACCCGGTACCCGGCCAGGTTGCCGGGTACCCGTTTGCGACCCTGGTGCAGCCGGGTACGGGTAAGGAATCGAAACCCGTTTGCGACCTCTGTCCAACCGTCTGTGTACGTCCCACCTTCACTCGCGCGCATTGACCAGGCGTGATGGGAAGTCACGGGGTGGTTAAATATCCCGCGTACGACTGCACGGGTGTCAGGAAGCCGCCGTCCAGCAGCGGATTGACAGAGGGGCAAGTCGCGTGTGGTGGGCTAACGCGCGTGAGTAATCCATCCGCTCCCAAGGCGTCTGGTTAGCATGGAGAAGTAGGCCAAAATTCCCTCTGCATGGGTTCTCAGGAACTTCCTGTTCTTGCGAAGTCTCCTCCACTGACAGTGGACACGAGCAAGTCGCCATTTTTTCCAGTGGCTGATGCAAATGCCGAACAACAATTACACGTTTAGGTGGTTCAAGACCGATACCCGCGTCAGGAACAGCGGAGCAGTATCACTGTGATGATGTCTCCCTCGTATTTGTGGATTGTGCATTGCGTTTTACGTTATATGGCCTGTTCTGGATGACCACAGTCGCACACTGGAGCATTTTTTCTTTTCCGTTTGTGCATCAGGTATCCGCATCTGCTGCCATGGTTTGTGCAGTGGATGTGGTTTAGGGTGGACCATGAGCTTCGTGGAAAATCACACCCAGGGATCTTCTGCGTTGGGTCATGAGCAAGTAAATTGCATGGCTGGCGTCTTTGCCATCGAGAGCAGGAGACGGAGGGAATCCCTCGGGATGGGTGGGGGAACAGTTGTGTACACAACTCAGTTGTCAAACCAGCCCAGAGACGAGGGGGGGGGGGCATTCCAGATGCCGGAATGCCGGTGGTGCAGGCACACGACTGTGAATTAGCACTGAGGAGGTGGGGGTGGAGTGCCAGGGGAGGGGGGGGGGATAAGTCCCTGGGTGTGCCTGGAGAGTCCAGAGTTGTACCAAGGATGGGTGGGATTACGATTGTTATTGTTGAATTCGTAAGTCATTACAATTGCACAAGCAATGTTAAATGCATTGTTTTCGTTTTTGTCATGACAGTATACATTGACCCCAGGTCTGACGTGCAAACAGATTTTGCATGTCTCTGTGCTGAGCCGGTCTTCAAAATCAGAATCTTTACGTAGAACGCGGGAGGAATTCGATGAAATTTGAAGCTGTTTTTGACGGATGTATGATTATGGGCGGGTTAGTGGGTGCTTGTTAACAGCACTTACCCAAACAGTCTGTAGGCCATGTTGTGGGTCACTTCCTTTGTTAGCATGTGCACAGAGCGTTGGTGGAGAGGTTACCAACCCGGTTGCCAGAGTTCAATTGCCGATCATCATCACCCAAATGTAACATTGGCGTATAATCTTTATATTGTGTGCACAAGACGTAAATAATAATTTATCGCGCGCGTGATGGCGATGCGTGTAACGTATGTGTAAGAATCGATTCTTATTGATAAATCGACGCATTGTGTTAGTATCGTATTGCAAGTCGAGGTAGAGTGCAGTGCTGTTTGTGTCAGCCTTATAAATCAATTCACTGTTTCCTACAGCAGGCCTTCATTTGGATAGACAGCTTTTCTTGGGTTTTTACATTTGACCCTTGCCCCGTGGGTAACAGCGTGGCGCCATCTGTCGATGTTAACCATCCCGCAGTGGTCATCATTAGCATCATCATCAATGCCACGTTCTATCCACTGCTGAACGAAAAGCCTCGTCAAGCTGCCGCCGTCTCTCACGATTTCATGATGCGAGAATCTGTCCAGCTCCGAACGCACGAGGGGTGATATCATTGTCTGTTTAGACCACGGGCCGTCCATCCCTTGTAGCCGTGATGTGTCTTGCTCAATCCCCCGCTCACTTTTCCAAAGCGGTTCACGCGGTGTCTCCAATTCGCGCACGTTCTCTCAACACCCACGTGTTTCTCTTTCCGTCTCGGAGTGCAACTCAAAAGCGTGCGTCTGTCCACAGATTTTAATTGAGAGAACGAGAGGAGACACTTGGATTAGAGGGGATCGGCAAGATACATCATAGTGACTGCTAATACTATATATTTTTATTTTACCAGGTGAAGCGCACTGACCTATGTAGCTTTTATTCATAAGCGACCTGGCCGCAAATTATAGCTCAATGAAGTGGCTTATCACTTGGAAACTTTAGCAGCCAAATACCCTAAACGGAGGAGGGAAACGCGCCCAAGAGGGATACGTCAACCGCGGAGACGGAGCGAACGAGATCACGTTTCTGTGCACGAGCGAGATAAAATGATTCTCACATTGCAGGAGCGTGTGACAGGTGGGGTTTTGGGTGGTTTTGTGGAGGCTGTCATCCGGCAGTGGATGAATCGTGGCTGAAGATTGCGATGTCTCTGTGCTTCTTCTGTGCACTTTGGGGTGGGGTGGAGCGGGAGGCAGTAATTGCAAGGTCGGCCTCGCGAGTTCCCAAGGGCAAAACGGCAGCGGGGAGGCTCAGCAGCAGTGTGGTTGTTCTCCTTGTTATCTCTGTGTGGCCTTCCTTGTGTCGTGCGACTCCAGGAATTTCAGGCATTCCGGCTCTTGTGTCTCAAACGCGGCCATCATGGGCCCCCAGGGAGAGACGCGTAGAGAGGCTAATATGTTTATTTAACAACGAGATGGAACGCAATCTGTAAATTGTAACATGAGCTTGACCCAGACGTCTTAATGTTTACAGCTGCGAGTCCACAACACGGCTGTTGTGAACCTCCGGGTAGAGAGAACAAAAATATATGCCTAGTGCCTTGGAACCAAGCGGTGTCTGCTTATTGCTTGACATGGCCATTATGAACCTGAAAGCGACAGACACACCCGACCAAACGCGAGGGGTTCGAACCACAATCTTAACAGTGCTGTCTCTCACGACCGTTACGAACCCTGTGTGAGAGACACACACTCGCACATAGACTCACGGCTTGAACCCAGGCTTTGAGGCGCGACACTCAGACCACCCCAATGTACCATCTGCTTCATTCTTAAGTAGAGAACTTGTGGCCTGCGGGCCGGATCCGGCCATGGACTTAAAATTCATACAGCCCGCGATTCAATTTCATACTGCCTGCGGCCTACCACTTTGAAACGGCCCACAAGTCATATTTATGCGTCACTGCAGGCACATTTGGAGGCACTGATGGGGTAGTAGAGGGGCAATGTTGTCAACCTGGCAACAGCACTGGCAGCTTCTAATTTCTAGTTCTCGGTCGCTTTTGTCACTGCAATAGGTCTCTTGCATTGACAGAAGTGGCAGGTGTGCTGTGTGCGTACGCATGTGTGCGTAGTAGGGGGCACATATGGTGCATCGGCCAGTCATCTCAGTCAGTCAACCCATGGTACCTAGGTCTTTCCCGTGACCTCCTGCCAGCGGGTGTTTGACACTTCACGTGGCCTTAAAGTGCATATTGCCCGCCACAAGCGCTGTGGTGACATCACCGCCGCTTAGTGTTGAATGGCGGTTCTTGTTGTTGTTGTTGAATGTGTGCTTGCCCTTTCCATCCACAGTCATGAAAGGTTTCCCCAACCCTGGCTCACTTCGCTGTCCGATATGCTCCCTGTTGGTCACCGTCGGTGTGTGTGTCTGTCTGTCTGCGTGCGTGTGTGTGTCTGTCTGCGTGCGTGTGGTGCTCGCCGCTGCAGGACTGGCAGCCTCCGTTCGCCGTTGACGTCGACAACTTCCGCTTCACGCCCAGGATCCAGAGACTCAACGAGCTCGAGGTCTGTGATTGAAAACTAATTTATTTATTACTGCTTTTTGTGTTTAGTTGGTTGTCCTTCCACACATCTCCGATTTAGCACGGTTGGCTACGTACGGCACGAAAGAAGTTCTACGTACGTACGTGCCGAACCACCAAGCTATTGCCTTGGGTTACTTTTGAACGCTAATCCACCAGCTCCGTCCATCTTGTCTATCGTGGTGAAGCGCGATAACGCTTGTTACAGGATGATCCGGTACGAACGAAACTTCAGTTACATTGTGTTGCTATAAAAAAAAATCCCAGCGTTAAAAGGTTTTTACAAAAGCACTTAAAGGAAGTGCATGCTCCCCCCCCCCTCATTATGCGGATGTCATCAGTCAGTGCCCCGTGTGCCACCGTCTTGATGTGTGGCTTTAAAGCTCAACGTACTTCTTCTTGGTTCTTTCGGTAAAGTCACGTAGAAGGGAAATAATAAAATAATAAAAATAAGTGTCTCATTCAGACACTGTCTTTCCGACAGACCTGTTCTTCACCTGAGGACGGCTGCTTGCGTTGTGGCCGAAACGTCGGGAGAATTATTTAATTATGTTTTATTTTTATTATTTTATTATTTCCCTTCTACGTGACTTTACCGAAAGAACCAAGAAGATGAATCCCTGCAGTCACGAAAGCTTTAAATCGAAATCTCAACGTACTTATTGCTCTTTCCACACTCCCGGGGACAAACGCATGCTGGAAAGAAAGCATTCCAAAATCCATTCACGTGCATGATTTTTCTTTCTTGTTAAACATTACTTTTGTTCTTCCCCTCCCCCCCCGCCTCAAATCTCAACCCACCGGTGTTATCGACATCACTTCATGTGATGGCGCTTGCGTTCGGAACTCTCGCGCAGCAGTACAGATCTCCGTGTTAAAAACACAGAGCTACCTCTCGCTCATTCAGACGTTGTCTTTCCGACAGCCCTGTTCTTCACCTGAGGACGGCTGCTTGCGTTGTGGCCGAAACGTCGTGAGAATTGTATTTCATAATGTTTTATTTTACTATTGTATTATTCCCTTCTACGTGACTTTACCGAAAGAACCAAGAAGATAAATCTACCTCTTGAGTTTCCTTCAAGTGACCTCTGGTTCATACGCGGTCGAGGGCGGATCTTCACACGAGCACTGCGTGTGAGAGCGATGCTCATTGCGCGGCAGTCAATGCGACGTTATTGATTATCCGAGCTGGAATTCAGCCAAACGAAATGTTCATTCGTTCGTTTCTCAGTCCGCTTGTCCTGCTGAGGGACGCTGCGGCGGCGTGTCGAGTAGGTCGGTCCAGACCTTCCTTTCCCTGGCGACAGACTCTAGCCCTTCCTGGGTGCTAGAGCCAAATGAAATGCAGAACCAAAATTAATGTGATGGTCTGGTTGCGCAGCCATCGATGACGGAGCTAAGCCCATCAACTCGCGGCGCTTGAGAACCCGGTTTAATTACAGGCCGTGGCCAGAGCCTGGTTTGGAACCAAGGATCTCAGCGGTGCCGGCTTGGCATCTCTGACATCGGAGCCACCCGGCACCCTCTGGCATCGTTGATTCAACTGTGCGTGCACCCGGTTGGGTCTTTATAAACAAAGACCGGGGAGGTTTAATTTCGATTTAAAGCTTTCGTGACTGCAGGGATTCATCTTCTTGGTTCTTTCGGTAAAGTAGCGTAGAAGGGAAATAATAAAATAATTCTCACGACGTTTCTGCCACAACGCAAGCAGCCATCCTCAGGTGAAGCATAGGCCTGTCGGGAAGACAGCTGTCACCTAAGGACGGCTGCTTGCGTTGTGGCCGAAACGTCGTGAGAATTATTTTATTATGTTTTATTTTTATTATTTTATTATTTCCCTTCTACGTGACTTTACCGAAAGAACCAAGAAGAGTGGGGAGGTTTGCAAGAGTTGCTGAGTTGCCACAGCCACCCCCCCCTATGCCTCCCGTCTCTCTCTGCCTGGTCACCGAAATCGCTATGGTGCGGAGAGACTTCCCTGGGATTTCTTGCGATCGTTGTAGTGCCATACGGATCACTTGCCAGTGGGTTGATCATGGCCGACGGTGATGCTGTGGCAGAGGTCGCAAACGGGTACCCGATACCCGTACCCTACCCGATACCCTGCTACCCGTACCCGGCTGGGTACGGGTAGCCGTTTGCGACCCTGGTGTGGCCGGGTACGGGTACGGATAAACTGCGAGTCACTGGTGAGTCTTGTCTCTTCTCACAATTCAAGTTCCTAGAATCAACCCACCCGCGCCTGCAACATGGCTTCATCCCAGAGGTCGCAATCGGGTACCCGTACCCTACCCTATACCCGGTCGGGTACGGGTAGCCGGGTGTAGGGTACGGGTACCCGTTTGCGACCCTGGTGCGGCCGGGTACGGGTAAGAAAGCAAAACCCGTTTGCGACCTCTGCTGTGTGGCTGATGATGATGGTGGTGACGATCGCTCTCGCCCGCAGGCTCAAACACGCGTGAAGCTCAACTTCCTGGACCAGATCGCCAAGTTCTGGGAGCTCCAGGGCTCCACCCTGAAGATCCCGATCGTGGAGCGCAAGACACTCGACCTCTACACACTCAGCAAGGTGAGGACGTGTGTGCGTGGGATTGCGGCGTCGGCGGCAGCATTATTAGCACGCGCACTGTCAGCTGCTGCAACCATCAATGCTTGGCGGTTAATATTTGAGTGCGGTATGGTGATGTATTCTGTACAGGTTTACTGTTGTGCTTATGAGAAGACGATGCTGGTAAATCGTTGAATGCAGGGAGATTTGGTCGTAACTAGTGATGTTTTTCTTTTGTGTGCTTCTGTTGACTGGTGACGTGTGCTTGCGTGTTTTGTGCGAGTGGCTGTGTGTGCATATGAGGATCGGCAGCATAGTGGTTAGCACATTTCTCTCTGAACCCAGCGCCGCGAGTTCGATTCCCACTCGTGGCCAATGACAGCGGCGAGTATGTGAAACTGGTCCTGGGCCTCCTTGCTCAAATTGGCCTTAAACAATTACCCGGCGTATTGTGTAAACATCAGCACTGGGGAGACAAAGACGGCTGGGCATGGTGTTGGCCACCCACCTCCTTCGTGTGCCGTTTCAGCACTTGCCCCAACAGTCTGTTCGAGGCTATACGGGGATCTTTGCCTTTGTGTATGCATGCACGTGTGTGTGTCTGTCTGTGTGCTTGTGTAGGCGCTTGTGTATGCTCGCGAAATGTGCTCACCACTACACTACCGATCCTCATATAACAACAACAACAACCGCCATTCGCCACTAAGTGGCGGTGATGTCACCACGACGCTTGTGCCAGGCCATATGCACAAACAGGCACACACACGCAACCAGACGTCATCAATGTCTACGTGCCTGTGCGTTTGCGTCGTGCGTTTGCGCCACTTCCCATTGCCATCGACGCCGTCGTCACCGACCTCCACCACCCTCCTCCCCCCCTACCCACCCGCCTTTTGCGCAGGTGGTGATGGAGGAGGGCGGCTTCGAGTACCTGAGCCGCGAGCGCAAGTGGGCGCGGGTTTCCCTGCGCATGGGTTACCCGGCGCACCGCGGCGTCGGCTCGCTGCTGCGCTCGCACTACGAGCGCATCCTCTACCCCTACGACCTCTTCCACGCCGGCGTCAGCCTCCACGTGCGTGCGCCCCGCTCGCTCCCTCCCCTCGCTCACTCGCTCCCTCCCTCCCCTCGCTCGCTCGCTCGGTCGCGCTTGCCAGCACCGACACCGCGGAGAGACAAAGGCGGCCCAGGGCTTGGTGCCGGCCACACCCCACCCCCTCTTGAACCCCGCCGGTCTTCGTATAGGTGCTGCTAGTTAACGCCACTTGCCCCAGCAGTCTGTTAAAGGTTTTACGGGGGGGGGGCACCTTTGTCTTTGTTAATAGGCTCTGGGCTGTTTGTTTAAGCCTGAGCAGCTGTTCTCTCCACCACCACCAGCACCTGTGTTTTCTTTCGCGTCTACACTTGCAGCTCTGTCCCCTCTCAAACAATTAAATATGTTGCGTGTAGTCGTCGTGAAGCGACTGACTTTGTTGGACTCTGTTCTGGTGTCTCCCCTGGTCTCATTCTCTTTGTTTCGATGTCTCTTGTAGTTCCCGTCCGTTCTTCTGTCTCCCCCCATGTCTCTCTCTGAGTCTTTACGTCTCTATGTATGCGCCCTTTTTCTATTTGGCTTTCTCACCTGGTGTTTTTTGTTACGTCTCTTTGCCTCTATGTTTGACCTCTCAAAGTTTGTCTTTCTCTCTGTCTCTAGGGCTTGCTCCCCCACCCCCCTCTCTGCACACGGCTTCACCTAAGCATTAAGATAGTGCTGCCTCTTCTTATCTTCCCAACCCCCTCTGTCCTTCCCCCACTCCCCCCACCCACCCCCCGAATCTCACTCAGCCTCTCCTCCTAAACATTTCTATTGTCGCACCATTCACAATCAAAATCTTTCTCCTGAAGGAATCCGGTGAGCTATAAAGCTCTTTTTCACAGATGTCTAGTAGGGGCACACGGGGTAAGAACGTTACAACAACAAACAAATAAAAAAACACGATCGGGGTGCAGAGTACAAGAAAGGTCAACAAATCGCCTAAACGCTACCAAAAAAACCGTAACCATCCCCACCATATCTACCACAAGAGCCCACATCTGGTATCAATTATTAAATTGCAATTAGCTTGGTTGGCTGAGGTTACGTCTGCATTGGGATTGGAATTTATTAAGAAGTCGGCAATTAGGATTGTAATCGAAACCAGGTCTGCGGCCAACCCGTTCGCGCCGTAGCCGAGGGGGGAACGGCAGGCCAAGAGAACCGCGACGCGCTGCGTGACGCGCGCTCCGCATAATCCTCTAGCGGGTGCCACCCGTGGCAAGATGTTAACTATCTCGCCTGGTGTACAGGAGGTCATGAGTTCGATCCTGACCCTGACGCCTGCTGCTGTCTATTTGGAGTTTGCGTGTCTCTCTCATCATCATCATCACGGTGGCTAGGAGATGTTAACTACCTCGCCTGATATGCAGGAGATCGTGGGTTCGATCCCGACACTGACGCCTGCTGCTGTCTATTTGGAGTTTGCGTGTCTCTCTCATCATCATCATCACGGTGGCTAGGAGATGTTAACTACCTCGCCTGGCATGCAGGAGGTCATGAGTTCGATCCTGACCCTGACGCCTGCTGCTGTATATTTGGAGTTTGCGTGTCTCTCTCTCATCATCATCACGGTGGCTAGGAGATGTTAACTACCTCGCCTGGTGTACAGAAGGTCGTGGGTTCACTCCCGACCCTGTCGCCTGTATATTTGGAGTTCGCATGGCTTATCTCTCCGTGGTCGTGTGGATTTTACTCCGGGTCCTCCGTTTTTTTCCTCCACATTTAGTCTCAATGTGCGTTCATAGTGTATTTATCTGCTGTACATTTCCACATGTTGAGCCATCATTTGGGATCGCCTGGTCGCTTCTGAAAAAGAGCCTCTATAGCTCGGGTGGGCCTTACCCAGTAAAATAAAAAGTTAGTTTTATAGTTTGAGTTTAAGTTCGGTAAATATTCCTGGGTGACTCGTCGGCCTTGCTCCGTGCGTTCGCAGACGCTCAAGAACCTCTCCAAGCAGAAGCTGCCGCTGTCTCTGGCTCGCTCCGCCGCTCCCACCGACAAGGTAATGCCGCCGTTTTGCCATCGAAGGTCTTCCCACAATAAAAAAAGAAGAACACTTGATAACCCACAAAGTGGCGATGTTAACGCCCTCTCCTGGTATGCAGGAGGTCGTGGGTTTGATTCCGACCCTGACGCCTGCTGCTGTATATTTGGAGTTTGCGTTTCTCTCTCTCATCATCATCACGGTGGCTAGGAGATGTTAACTACCTCGCCTGGTATACAGGAGGTCGTGGGTTCGATTCCGACCCTGGTACCAGCTGCTGTATATTTGGAGTTTGCGTGTTCTATCTCCCCCCGTAGTCGCATGGATTTTTATCCGGGTCCTCCGGTTTTTCGCTCTGCATTTACAAACGTGCGTTTAGAATATTTGGCTGTTATATGTGTCCACGTGATAAGCCACTTCGTTGAGCTATCATTTGTGTCCAGGGCGCTTTTGAGAAGGAGCTATATTGCTCGGTGGGCCTTACCTGTTAAAATAAAAAAAATTGTTAAAAAAATATACAAAGCACTTTGATTGCTTATTGGTTTCTGTTTGGGGTGGGGGAAGGGGGGGGCGTTGGTGACAGGAGGAGCCCCCAGGCAGGACCAGTTTGGGTATCGCTCGCCACTGATGTTGGCCATAGCCGAGAATCGAACTTGGGTCCACCGGGTTTGTAGTGCAATGTGCTAAGCACGACGTCACCGTGCAAAAATCCCGTAATTAAAACAATTACCAAATGTGGTTCGTCGGGTTTTTTTTTGCAGAACGACCATTGAGTGTTTCTGGGTCGAATAACAGGAATTCCCCAAATTTAAAAATATTATTTTTGTAAAAAGCTTTTTACTGAAGTGGTACGTAACTCTTGCAAAGCAAGGGGAGCAGTAGCACTCCATATTATAACCGGGTCACCTGAGTTTGATTCCCAGCGAGGGCTAATGCCAGTGGTGAGCTTTACCTGAACTGGTCCTGCCTCCCCCCTTATCCTGTCGCCAACCCGCGCTGACCAGGGTGGTGAAGTATGGTCAATCAACACCCACGACCAACGGGGCAGAGCATTGAATGTGGGGGAGACCTTCATCCGGCAGTGCATAGACCACGTGCTTATAGTTTACGATAGTGTGTGGAGAGGCCTTTCATCAAGACGGTGGCTGATACGACGATGATGATCATAATGATAGTTGTGGGGAGGCTTTGGTCCAGCAGCGGATAGCCCCTGGCTGTCGGCGATGGTGTGCACACGTGGGGAGCGGCGGTGGTGTCGTGGTTAACGTGTTGCGCTCCGAACCCTGTGACCCGAGTTCGATTCCCGCTCATGGCCAGCGCCAGTGATGATTATCTGAACCGATCCTAGGCCCCACCTAGGTTAACTCGGCCTCAAATGAGTACCTGGTGCGGTGTGTAAACATCGCCACTGAGGAGACACAGGCGGCCGGGCGTGGTGCTGGCCACCGCACCCCCTCGTGTGCCGTGCCGACCTTCATAGGTGCTCGCTAACAGCACTTGCCTTGGCGGTCTGTTCGATGCTAATCGGGGGATCTTTGCACACGTGGGTGGTTGCGTGCTCTGCGGATGCAGCAAGATGACGTGGGGGAGAAGGACAAGGAGTACAAGCCGCACGGCATCCCGCAGCGACTGTCGGTGCAGCCCTCCAAGACGGACTGCTACGGGCGGCGTGCCAAGCGTCTCAACACCGAGGTCTCCTCCACTTTGACCTCCCCGTCCCCCGACCTCCACCCGGAACGGAGCTACGCGTGGCCCCATCGTTTATATTTTTCTATATTTTTCTATATTTTAACACCGTTGCCGAGCACAGCCCCAATGTCCCCGAATGTCTTATTCTCGACTTAATAGATTCGAGTAGAAGCAGAAGGAGAAGTCTTCTTCTTGGTTCTTTCGGTAAAGTCACGTAGAAGGGAAGTAATAAAATAATAAAAATAAAACATAATAAAATAATTTTATTATGTTTTATTTTTATTTTATTACTTCCCTTCTACGTGACTTTACCGAAAGAGCCAAGAAGATGAATCCCTGCAGTCACGAAAGCTTTAAATCGACAAAGAAAGAGAAGTGTCGTGACCCGCAGTGTGGCGAGTGATTGAGTGTTCGGGTGAGCGAGTGATTGAGTGCGAGTGAGTGACTTGGTGAGTGTGTTGTTACGACCTGCAAGTGCGGTGATGTCAAGTCGGCGTGTGATTGAGTGGGTTGAGTGACCGAGCGAGTTGGTGAGTGATTGTGGATGAGGCAAAACAGGTAGCCCTTGACATATGTAAATGATATCGGTGAGAAGCGTTCACGAGCACTGTGATCATTGCAGCAGCGTTAGAAGAGTGATAAGGGGGCGACTGACAGCCAGTGAGTGAGTGGAGTGAATCGGTGAGCGCTGGATCAGCGATCAACCTGACCGCTTTGTGTTCAATCCTATGTGGAGTGCTCTTGCCAAGAATAATATCGGTCAATCCAACAGCATTTGTTTATCAAGCCTGAGTGCTGATGAGACCCAGAAGGTCGATGCTGGTCCTGGGTCTGCCTGCTTAGACAAAAGCTGCTGCGTGATATTTGTTTGGAAAGCAAGTAGGCAGATGGAATAATAAAAATAGAATTACATTGAAACATTTAAGTGAAACGTTTGAATTTTAAAACTACAAATTTAATCTCAAAGTGAGAACTTGTTTTGAAACAAAACAAACTAATCGTCTTCACTTTTATTATCATTGCCTCCGTCACCCGAACAACTAGGACACAAACGAGGAGTCTAAACGTGACCCGTGTCTGCCTGCGTGTGCCTGCATGTGCCTGTCCTTGCCTGCCTGCGTGTGTCTGCGTGTGCCTGTCCTTGCCTGCGTGTGCCTGCGTGTGTCTGCGTGTGCCTGTCCTTGCCTGCCTGCGTGTGTCTGCGTGTGCCTATCCTTGCCTGCCTGCGTGTGTCTGCATGTGCCTGTCCTTGTCTGCCTGCGTGTGTCTGCGTGTGCCTGCATGTGTGTGCGTGCGCCTGTCCCTTGCCTGCGTGTACCTGCATGTGTGTGCGTGTGCCTGTCCCTTGCCTGCGTGTGCCTGTCCTTGCCTGCCTGCCTGCGTGTGTCTGCGTGTGCCTGCACGTGTGTGCGTGTGTCTGCGTGTGCCTGCACGTGTGCCTGCACGTGTGCCTGCACGTGTGTCTGTGTGTGCGTGTGCGCGCATTGTCCCACGCCCGTGCCGCGACAGCCCGAGCCAACGGAGGCCGACATTGCGAGCAACCCTGAGCTGAAGAAGCTGCAGATCTACGGAGCTGGGCCCAAGATGATGGGTCTCGGACTGATGGCGCGCGAGAAGCTCGGCGCCAGCAGGAGGAAGGGTGAGCGCCATGGCCCGCTCGTCGTCAATGTCGTCATCCTCATCGTCGTGTCGTTAAGATTGTTCCCATCACTCTCGGCATCGCTATCGGCATAATCGCTGTAAATTTTCACGGTCATCATCGCATCATCGTCATATTTGTTGCCGTCAAGTCTCTTTGTTGTCACCATTGTCGTATCACCATCTTTGTCAACATCAATTGATTTGGAAGCGTCTTTGACATGACTAGAGTGCCTGACATTCACTTTAAAGTCATTTGTTTCTCGTTCGCGAATCTTCATGCTCATGCAGTACAAGCCCGAGCAACCCAGCCGATGCGCGTAGCTACAATTTGCCGTTCGTTTTGTGTGTTGCCTTTCAAAGACGCTGACGTGAAGCAGGAGCCGACTGTGGCGCCAAAACTGGAACCGGCGCCGCCGCCTCCACCGCCGCCAACACCACCACCGGCGCTGGCAGCGGACGGTGGCGAGAACTGTTCCAAGTGGGAAGATTCGGCGGGGGCCGGCAAGCAATCGCTGGTCCCCTCTCCCTCTCCGCCGGTACTGGCTCGTGCCGAGCGCGCGGAGCAGCCCTGCAAGCAGGAGCATCCGTCCAGCCCGGTCGTCATCTCCGACGATGACGACGACGACGGTGGCGGTGGCGGCGGCGGCGGCGGTGCCGGCGAAGCGAGGGGCGGTGGCGCTGCAGAGGAACGGAAACTGGAGGGTGGTGGTGGCGGCGCTGGCAGCGATGGCGCTGCTGTTGATGGATCCGTGGAGCAGGTTAGTCGATTCCGTCTGGTTGGGGCCAATCGGTAGTGGCTGATATCTTGTTAACTTATGCCATGTGGGATTCTCGACGTCTGATGTGAAGTGACGAGTGATTGTCGTTGCGATTATAGTAAATTGGAAATGACTTGTCTCCGCCATAGGAATGTGGAATTTCCACTCAACACATAGTGATGTTTTTTTTTTAATTTAAAGCTTTCGTGACTGCAGGGATTCATATTCTTGGTTCTTTCGGTAAAGTCACTTTACTGAAAGAACCAAGAATACATAGTGATGTGTTGACCCGTCGGTTAAAATCGACTTGGGCACTCGGCGCAAGAACGATGCACACGTCGATTTGTGTGCGTGATCGGGGTTATTCACGATTTATTCAAATTGTGGATTATACGTAAGCGACCTTGAGGCCCAAGCGAACGAGGCTGTACGAGTGGAGGCATAACGATGATTGGATCGAATCGTGACAACTTGTGGACTCGTCGTGGTGGTTAAGGGTTACGTGCTTAACGCTTGCCGATTATATACCGATTCAATTTTGATTTAAAGCTTTCGTGACTGCAGGGATTCATATTCTAGGTTCTTTCTGTATTGTCACGTAGAAGGCAAACAATAAAATAATTCAAATACAAATCGAAACGTCGTGAGAATTTTATTGTTTTATATTTTTATTATTTGATTGTTTCCCTTCGACGTGACTTTACCGAAAGAACCTAGAACGTATATACCGATTGTCGATGACTTTTTCCCAATGCCCGTTTGCCGAATGTAAATCACCGGTTGTCCGGTCGCGGTTTCCCGTCGTGACGCAGAAGGCAGAGGCTGCGTGCCTCGTGTGCGAGAGCGCCGTTGCCGTGGAGACGATGCTGCGGTGCAGCCGTTGCGGAGACGGGTACCACAGGACTTGCCTCGTGCCGCCCCCCCCAGAAGCCGCCAGCGTACACTGGCGCTGCCCCAAGTGCATCGCCGAGGTACCGCGTGTCATACGCTACTTACCTAAATGTCTCACGGATTTAGGTTACAGAAGTTATGAAAATTCTCGTTAACACTTTGATACAACGCCCTCGTATTTGTGTTATTGTTATTCTTTTAGGTAGCGATGATGAGGGTGGCGGCAATGTCACCGCGCGTGTGTGTGTGTGTGCGTGCGCGTGTCCGCGTTGGGAGCAGTGGCGCAGCAGTTACCGTGCCCACTCACGGCCACCAACACTAGTGACAATTATTTGAACCGATCCTGGGCTCCCCTTAGGTCGGGGTGGTGCTGGCTACCCACTGTGCCGTGCTGATCTTTTATTTGTGCTACTCGCTAACAGCACTTGCCTTGGGCTAAACGGGGAGGGGGTCTTTGTCGTTGTGTCTGCGTACAGGAGTGCAGCAAGCCACACGAGGCGTTTGGCTTTGAGCAGGCCACCAAGGAGTACACGCTGCAGAGCTTTGGGGAGATGGCCGACACGTTCAAGGCGGACTACTTCAACATGCCCGTGCACGTGAGTGGCGCTCCGCTGCCTCTCCTGGCATGTCGGGGGGTGGGTGGAGGAGGGAGGCCCGATACACCGGGCACAATGTACCAGTCCCAGAAAATGAAACGAGAGAATTTAAATTTCGATTTAAAGCTTTCGTGACTGCAGGGATTCATCTTCTTGGTTCTTTCGGTAAAGTCACGTATAAGGAAAATAATAAAATAATAAAAATAAAACATAATAAAATAATTCTCACGACGTTTTCCTTATACGTGACTTTACCGAAAGAACCACGAAGAGAGAATTTAAGTTTTTTAGGATGACTTCCATGTCCAGTCTTCGTAATGTCTGCTCCACCTCCGCTTTTATTTTTATTATTGCTCCGTGCCGGGTTCCCCTGCGGCGGCTCGTTCACTCACTCGCTCGTTCACTCGCTCGTTCACTCACTCTGCGCGTGCGCAGATGGTGCCAACGGACCTGGTGGAGCGCGAGTTCTGGCGCTTGGTGAACAGCATCGAGGAGGACGTGACGGTGGAGTACGGAGCCGACATTCACTCGCGCGAGTTTGGCAGCGGCTTCCCGGTGCGCGACCAGGAAAGGATCCTTACGCCCGAGGAGGAGGTGGGGGCACAGCACCGACAACGCCGCCGACACCGCCGCCGGCGATCGGGGGGCGGTGATCGGTGACGGCGGCACGTTCAGTGACAGCGCGATGATGAGCTGGCACGCTTACGGCTTGGCTAATGAGATGCCACATTGATGAGATAATGCAGTGGTGGCATGATGATGAGAAGTTACACTGATGGCACGATGCTGAGAGCGCACATTGGTGCTATGATGCTGAGATGGCACGCTGATGGCACGACGATTGGCGATCGGGGGGCGGTGATCGGTGACGGCGGCACGTTCAGTGACAGCGCGATGATGAGCTTGGCACGCTGACGGCTTTGCTAATGAGATGCCACATTGATGAGATATCGCAGTGGTGGCATGATGATGAGAAGCTACACTGATGGCACGATGCTGAGATGTCAGCTGATGGCACGACGATTGGCGATCGGGGGACGGCACGATCAACGTTCTGCGTGTTTGCGTGTGCGTGCGGGCACGCTCTTGCGCGTGAGCTTTGTGCGTGAATGTTTTAGCACGTGTTTGCGTGCCCGTGTACACGTGCATGCATGTGTTAGCGTGCGTGCCTTGTGCTGGTGCACGTATTTACGTGGTGCGTTTTGCGTGTGGGTGCGTATCCCAGACGTACGTGGAGTCGGGCTGGAATCTCAACATCATCCCCGTGCACGGGCAGTCGGTGCTCGGCTTCATCAACGCAGACATCTCCGGCATGAAGGTCTGGCTCGACAGCACATGCACACGCGTGTGTGCGGTGTGATCTGTTGTGTGTGTGCGGTGTGTGTCTGTGCTGTGGAGGTGCGTGTATACGTGCTGTGGGATGCGTGTGTATGTGCTGTGTCTGTGTATGTGTAGAGGAGTAGAGGAGATCTTCTTGGTTCTTTTGGTCAAGTCACGTAGAATGGAAACAAAAATAATAAAATAAAACATAATAAAATAATTCTCACGACGTTTCGGCCACAAAGCAAGCAGCCGTCATCAGGTGAAGACCAGGTCTGTCGGGGAGACAGCGTCTGAATGAAACAGAACCATGCTTGGAGCGTATATTTAAGCTGGGTTGGAAGGGGGGGGGGGAGGGCGCCTTGAGTAGTGGCGTCGTGTGCGTTGTCCAGTGCAATGACGTCACGGGACGTGGGGTCACGCGCGCTGTATATAGAACTTCTTTCACACCGTGCGTAGCCAACCGAAGGTGGAGAGAAGGACAACAGAAAGTTGTTGCAGTGCTTGTGGTGTGTGTGATTCACGTGTTTTGTTGCACGTGTGCTGTGCGTTGCGTGTGGGTTATGTACGTACGTGCGTGTGCAAGTGTGGGTCGCGGTGGTGTAGTGGTTGGCGCACTGCGCTACCAACTTGGCTCACTAACAACACCCGTGATGAATATCTGAATCGGTCCTGGGCCTTCCCCCTAGGTCAACTCAGCCCTAAATGAGTACCTTGAGCTGTATGTCATAAACATCAGCACTGGGGATACAAAGGCGGCCAGGGCGTTGTTTCTGGCCACCCCACCCCTTCCATGCCATGCTAGTCTTAATAGGTGCTTGCAAAATTGCAGCATGCAATGCTTACCGGCGGGTGACTTGTGCGTGTGTCTCTTTGTGTGCCTCTTGTGTTTTTGTGGGCGTGCTGGCAACGCAGGTGCCCTGGCTGTACGTGGGCATGTGCTTCTCTGCCTTCTGCTGGCACATTGAGGACCACTGGAGCTACTCCATCAACTACCTGCACTGGTGAGACGACACTTACACCAGGGGTAGGGGGGTGGGGCACTCCTCGGTAACCGAGTGCCGAATTAGGACTTTCAAATACCTTTGGCGGGGCGGCCACACGTCAATACTTGCGCGCCGTGGCACGGGTGACTGAGCTCGCCAAAATGGGACATTTCGGTGCTGTTGCCAGGCTGGCGAAGTCCCGTCTCTTGTGGCCGATCAGTGCCGCTGGGATGCTTTCGGGCTGTTCCGAGGTGGTTAGCCTCATGTGGCGGCGGTGCCCTGTGGAAATGACGTCACGGGCTGAATAGGGGCCAGTGGGTCACAGATTTCCCAATCCTGTCTTCATGGATTGTTTGTGGCTCATCTCCTCCTCCCCACCCCCCCTCTTTCTCATCCTGTTCACCCCTACCACCTCCACCACCACCTCTCCTCATCCTCCACAAACCTCTTCCTTCACATCAACTCCTCCTTAATTTCCATTTCTCTTCCCCCATTTCCTCCAACCTCATCAACTCATCCTCCTACTACCCTTCCTCTTCCAACTTCATGAACTCCTTCTTACTCTTCCCTAAACATCATCAACTCTTTCTCCCCGACTACATCGCCTCCTCCTGTCTCCACCTCGTCCCCGGGGGCAGGGGCGAGCCGAAGACGTGGTACGGCGTGCCGTCGCACGCGGCCGAGCACCTGGAGTCTGTGATGAGGAAGCTGGCGCCGGAGTTGTTCGAGTCCCAGCCGGACCTCCTGCACCAGCTGGTGACCATCATGAACCCCAACCTGCTCATGTCGCACGGCGTGCCGGTGAGTGCCAGCACGGCACCACCTCACGCTAGAGCCTCTCCCTGTGGTAGAGCCTCTTGCGTTAGAGGGTCAAGCGCGCTACCAGACTAGGCCCGGGCTATCCGGGTATCCCGGGTATTCGATTAACGTCACCGATGCGCCGTCTCGGTTACTCAACCAATCGGAAGTTAATTCCGCAATGAAACCGGAATGGAACTGAAAATGCCCCAACGGGCCTATACGTCTACAGGGGGGATCTTTGTCTTTGTTAGCAATGCGAATACTTCTTCTTGGTTCTTTCGGTAAAGTCACGTAGAAGGGAAATAATAAAATAAAAAAAATAAAACATTAAAATAATTCTCACGACGTTTTGGCCACAACGCAAGCAGCCGTCCTCAGGTGAAGAACAGGTCTGTCGGAAAGACAGCGTCTGACAGACCTGTTCTTCACCTGAGAATAAATGTATTATTTTAAATTTTTATTATTTTATTATTTCCCTTCTACGTGACTTTACCGAAAGAACCAAGAAGATGAATCCCTGCAGTCACGAAAGCTTTAAATCGAAATGCTAATACTCGCAACGAGCCTGCGTTGCGGTTGTGGTTGCGAGGGCGAGATCCGGGTTGTGACTGCGTGGTTGCGGCGGCGGTGGTGGTGGCGTGGCGAGCAGGTGGTGCGGACGAACCAATGTGCGGGAGAGTTTGTGGTGACGTTCCCACGGGCCTACCACAGCGGATTCAACCAGGGGTACAACTTTGCCGAGGCCGTCAACTTCTGCACCGCTGACTGGGTGGGTCTCGGATTTTTGTTTACCTTTCCTATAACTTGCACACCGATCGGGTTTTTGTTTTGTTGCTTTCACGTTCTGACTCGCCCCGGCTGGATATCTGTGTTTTAAAGAGCTTTATAGCTCATCAGATTCCTCCGGTGTCAATAAATATTCTGATAATCTTGTCCTCTCTGCTCTACATTTTCCTCTTGTCTGTTCATTGTCCTCCTCTTGCCCTTTGTTATTCCGCCCCCCCTCCACGATTCCTGGCCACGGCTGAATATTCGATAGAACCGGTGGCTGGGCCTTCACAAGGTCGCCTCGTTGAAAACCTCACCGCCCCCGGGGAGACGATCAGAGGGGGGCGTAGTTTTGCTGCCCGCACTGCCCCATCAAGTGCCGTGTCGGCCTTAATAGGCACCTGCTAACAGCACTTGCCCCAATAGTCTAAACGTAGCCTATGTGGAGATCCTAGTGTCTTTTTTTTATGAAATGCAGTTCTGATACCAATGTGAACTGTGAAATGTAATGCCCTATACCCATGGGAACTGTGAAATGCAATGACCTATACATATATGAACTGGAATTTTAATGCCATATAGCAATGTGAAGTGTAAAATGCAACGACCAATTAAAAAGCCACCCGGAGGTGCGGGGGGGGGGAGTGGTACGGTTGTAAATGTTTATCTCGGCAGCTGCCTACGGCCGCATCACCCCCAGAGGTCGCAAACGGGTTTTGATTCTTTACCCGTACCCGGCCGCACCAGGGTCGCAAACGGGTACCTGTACCCTACCCGATACCCGGCTACCCGTACCCGGCCGGGTATCGGGTAGGGTACGGGTATCGGGTACCCGATTGCGACCTCTGGGATGAAGCCATGTTGCAGGCGCGGGTGGGTTGATTCTAGGAACTTGAATTGTGAGAAGAGACAAGACGTTGGGAAATGAGTGACAAACGGTTACTCACCAGTGACTCACGGCCTACCATTACCCGTACCCGGCCGCACCAGGGTCGCAAACGGGTACCCGTACCGGTATGGGTAGCCGGGTATCGGGTAGGGTACGGGTATCGGGTGCCCGGTTGCGACCTCTGATCACCCCTCGCTTGTGCCGTGCCGGCCTTAAAAAGGCGCTCGCCAATGGCCGCTCGCCCCCAACAGTCGTCACCGCGGGGCTAAGCGTCGCGTGCCCTGTCGCCGCAGCTGCCCATGGGCCGCCTGTGCGTGGACCACTACCGCCGGCTGCACCGCTACTGCGTGTTCTCGCACGAGGAGCTCATCTGCAAGATGGCGTCGGACCCCGAGGGCCTGGGCCTCAACCTGGCGGCGGCCGTGCACAAGGAGCTCTTCATCATGGTGCAGGAGGAGCGCAAGCTGCGCCGTGCCCTGCTGCAGCGGGTAACGCCAGCGCCGCCGCCGTCAGCCCGCTGCACGCGATAGCGGAACTGCAAGTGTGTGTGCAGGTTGGGGGGGGGGGTGCGGAAGGACGGAAGCGATGCAGGGGGTGATGTAAGAGCAAAGTACGGGGGGCATGGACGCAAGGGATAGCGCAACAGTTGGGGGCGGCTAGTGAGATGGGAGATAAGTTGTAACAAAAGGAGCTTGGGGTCGCGAGGTAGGAGATGGTGTATCTGCCACGTGTGCGGTGGTATCGGGGCAACGATTTAACGGCCAGGTCAGGGTAAAAATGTAACAACAGTCTGGGTCGGGCTCTTATTCAGATGATAGTGCACCAGCGATGGGGGAGGAGCCGATTCAGGAGATGTTTCAATAGGGAGGGAGGCACAACTGAAAACACGACCTGACATCTTGTACACAGTGAGGTGGGGGCTGCATTACAGATGTGACATCACGTTATTGATTCGCTGTCATTTCTTGTCACCTATCACCTCCCTCCCACATACGTTCTTTCCCACCCATGCTCCCTTCCACCCTCTCCTCCCCGCCCTTCACTCCCCACGGCCCCGCTATCAACGCGCACGCACGCGCACGCATACGCGCACGCACACAGGGCACAACGGAGGCAGAGCGCGAGGCGTTTGAGCTGCTTCCCGACGACGAGCGGCAGTGCGACACGTGCAAGACGACGTGCTTCCTGTCGGCGCTGGCGTGCTCGCGCTGCCACAACCGCCTCGTGTGCCTGCACCACGCCGCCCAGCTCTGCAAGTGCCCGGCCGCCAAGCACTACCTGCGGTGAGCACCTAACGGGGAGCAGTCGGGCGGCATTAGCGGCGGTGGTGGCGGCTACGCTGCTGCACCGGCTGCCTTGTGACCTGGCGCTGCGGTGGCAGCGGGAGCGAGGGTTGCGAAACTTCCTTCTACCCATGGGTGGGCGTGGAGGAGGAGAAGGCGGGACAGCAGAGTGTGGACGAATATTAAATGTACGTAGCCAACCGTGCTGATTTGAGGTGCGTGGTAAGGACAACAAACACAAAAAGTATTTCTAAAGATGTAATTGTTCAAAAGAACTGGATTCAATCATGAATTCTACTACTTTCTTTTGGACGATCAGTTCCAAAAACGACTCGAAAAATATAACAGGGTTGCTCGTCCGTGTCTCTACACGATAGCTTCTGAACCCCACCACCCCCCACGCCTCTCTCACCTGACGACCTCATCTCTCGCGTTACTCCCCTCTCTCTCTCTGTCTACCCTGTCTACCCTCGCTGCTCCTCCTCAGCTACCGCTACACGCTGGACGAGCTGCCGGCCATGCTGCAGCGACTCAAGGTGTGCGCCGAGTCGTTCGACAGCTGGGCCACGCGCACGCGCCGCGCCCTGGAAGCCGAGGGCGCCCTCAAGAAAGGTTCGGGCGCACGTCGCACGCGGCTTTTTGCCCCGCGCTTTGCCGCATTTCGCACCGGTTACTTGCCAGGCGATCCTGACCTGACCCCTGCCCCGCGCCTCTGTCGGGCCGATGGTCTCCTCCGCGCGGCTGCAGAGCTGCCGCACCTGCAGGAGCTGGCTGCCGAGGCGGAGGAGAGGAAGTTCCCGGAGAACGATCTCTCGCTGCAGCTGCACGTCGTCGTCACGGAGACGGAGCGCTGCCTCGCGCTGGTTCGCTCGCTGCTCCACGCCCGGCCCGCCGACGGGTGCGTGGTGGTGGTGTCGTCGGTGGCGGTGACGCCCGGTGTTACCGTTGTCATTGTCGGCAAGAGCGAGGACGGACCGGGAACTCGATCTAGAACTGGGAGCTGTGCATGTGGTTAACGGGAATAATTCTGGCCGAGCTACAATGGAACTGTAAGTGGAATGTTAAGCCGTTGTAAAGAACGAGATGATGGCAATGACGGTGATGGGTGGTGACGGTGATGATGGTGACGATTGTCACCATAACCATCACGCGTAATAATGAGTGATAGTTACGGCGACGACGATGCTGCTCATGATCGTAACCGTGCCGATGACGCTGCCCGTGCTGATGATGATGATGATAGCAACGGTGACGCTGACAAGGAGGAGGTTGTGCCGTGTGTCAGGAGCCGTGAGGAGCCGGGGGAGCGACTCACCCTGGTGGAGCTGCGGGAGCTGGTGGAGCAGATGCAGAGTCTGCCCTGCGCCGTTCCCGAAGCCGCGCAGGTGGAGGTAACGGCAACACGGGGGAGTGCTTTGTCTGGTGCAGGTGTGCGCTGGCGTTTCCTTGCATGCTTGTGTGTGTGTGTATGTTTGTACTCTTAGTTCTTTCGGTAAAGTCACGTAGGTAAAAAATGAAATTAAAATGAATAAAAATAAAACAATATTATTAATTTCATTTTTTACCTACGTGACTTTACCGAAAGAACTAAGAGTATGAATCCTTGCAGTCACGAAAGCTTCAAATCTAGAATTATGTTTGTTTGCTTGTTGGAGCGGTGGTGCAGTGGTTAGCGCACCAGTGACGGTTATCTGTACCGGTCCTGGGCCTCCCCTAGGTAGCCTCAAATGAGTCCCTGGTTTAAACATCGTCACTGGGGAGACAAATTCGGCTGGGCGTGGTGTTGGCCACCCACCCCCTCGTGTGCCACAGTGCCGGCCTTCATAGGTGCTCGCGAACAGCACTTGCCCCTACAGTCTGTTAGGGCTATACGGGAGATCTTTGCCTGTGTGTCTGTCTGCGCCGTGCAGGAACTGCTGGAGCGAGCGGAGTGTCTGGAGGTGCGCGCCACCGAGGTGGCGGAGGAGGCGGCGCCCGGCGCTGGCACCGTGGAGTCTCTGCTGCGGGACATCGAGCGTCTGGGCCCCACCATCGTCCTGCCGCACACGGCCACGCTGCGCGACGCCCTGCCCCGGTCACGCTGGCTGCACCAGGTCCGGCTTCCACTCCGCATACACACAGCCCCTACCGGTCACGCTGGCTGCACCAGGTCCGGCTTCCACTCCGCATACACACAGCCCCTATTGTCAATGCTCTGCTGGGTGAGGGCCTCTCCTTGTTGTCTGGGTCATAGGGTCATACATAGACATATACCAACCACCCAAAAGCCTTCTGCACCATCAACAGCTCCTTTCACGAGACACAGTATTCAGAACCATGGACAGCTCCTGCTGCTATACACACAATTCAGCACCATGGACGGCTCCTACGAGACACATTAGTCAGCACCATGAACGAATCAAGGTACTCGACACAGTACAGCCCCTGGTACTAGACACAGAATGGAAAGCTCCTGGTACTAGACACATCATTCAGCACTATGGACACCTACTAGTATTCTACACAGCACTTAGCACCATGGACAAATCCTGGTACGAGACGCATCGTTCAGCATCATGTTCACCTACTAGTACTCTACACAGCGTTCAGCATCATGGACAGCTCCTGGTACGAGACACATCGTTCAGCACCATGGACACCTACTAGTACTCTACACAGCGTTCAGCATCATGGACAGCTCCTGGTACGACTACTGAGGTCATGGAGAGAAACCCGTCTTGGTGGCGGGTGGTGTCGCTCTCCCCGCAGGTGCGCGAGAGCCTGTCGCAAGGCGGGGCTCGCGTGCCGCTAGACGCCGTGCGGGGCCTGCTGAGGGCCGGGCTGGCGCTGCCAGCTAACCCGTCGGTGCAGAAGGCGCTGTCCGAGCTGCAGGAGCTGCAGAGCATCGCTCAGCGCTGGGAGGAGAAGGCGGCGCTCTGCCTGCAGTCTGGGTGAGCGAGCGGGCGGGGGTGGCGGGTGGAGAGAGGGTGGGTGAGAGCGTGTACAAGCTATTTATAGCGTGAGTGGTGAAGTGAGAGGGTGAGAGAGTGAGCACGCATGTAACTCCAGTGAGTGGTGAGTGAGCAGGTGACTAAGTGAGTCGGTGAACAGGTGGGAGAGTGATTCAGCATGTGAAGAGGGTTGGTTAGACAGTGAGAGAGGTGAGTGAGCAGATGAAAGAGAAATATTAATTAATCGGCAAGCGAAAGGGTGAACAGGTGGGAGAGAGGATGAGAGCAAATTCATCGGCGAGGGAACATTTGAGAGCGAGCGAGTGAGCGAAACCAGTGAGCTGGCTGATTAGCGAGCGTGTGATGGTGCGAGCGAGTGAGCGAACGGTTAAATGGACGAGCTGGCGGGCGAACGATCGAGCGAGCGCGGGTGAAGCGTCTCGACACTCGACAGTGTCTGCAACTTTTCGATTTAAAGCTTCTTTCGTGACTGCAGGGATTCATCTTCTTGGTTCTTTGGGTAAAGTCACGCAGAAGGGAAATAATAAAATAATAAAAATAAAACATAATAAAATCATTCTCACGACGTTTCGGCCACAACGCAAGCAGCCGTCTTCAGGTGGAGAACAGGTCTGTCGAGAGACAGAGTCTGAATGACACACTCCAGGCTTGGAGCGACTATTTATGCTGGGATGGAGGGGCGAAGAGCGTCTTGACAAAATAATTTGCATATCAAGAGGAATTTAGCATATTTATGGGAACCTCATCCGGTTTCTCCCGGTGCCACCGTTCTCTCGCGTGCGCGTTAGTGTGCGCGTGGGGAGTGAAGGGCAGGGAGGAGAGGGTGGGAGGGAGCATGGGTGGGAAGGAACGTATGTGGCAGGGAGGTGATAGGTGACAAGAAATGACAGCGAATCAATAACGTGATATCACATCTCTCTCTCCCCTTTCCCTCCCTCGGCGCGTCTCGACGTGCGTCCACGCGGCGCAGGCAGCGTCACAGCGCGGCGACGCTGGAGGCGATCGTGGCCGACGCGGAGCAGGTGCCCGCGGTGCTGCCCAAGGTGCGCGCCCTCACCGCGGCGCTCGCCGCCGCGCGCCAGTGGAGCCACCTCCTGGAGGCCATGCAGGTGGCGGCATGCACGGCACCCGCACAACACAAACGTCGCCCCCCCTTGCCTGCGGAGCCCCTAACAGGCCGCCAGGGCGGGCGCCATTAGCGATAAGCGATTACATTTACGCGATCTAACGCAAAAAAAACACGGAGTGTCGTGGGTGCGGCGTGCTTGTGTGGTGGGTGCGGCGTGCTTGTGTGGTGGGTGCCACGTGGTGGTGTGGTGGGTGCCGAGTGGTGGTGTGGTGGGTGCCGCGTGGTGGTGTGGTGGGTGCCGCGTGGTGGTGTGGTGGGTGCCGAGTGGTGGTGTGGTGGGTGCCGCGTGGTGGTGTGGTGGGTGCCGAGTGGTGGTGTGGTGGGTGCCGAGTGGTGGTGTGGTGGGTGCCGAGTGGTGGTGTGGTGGGTGCCGAGTGGTGGTGTGGTGGGTGCCGCGTGGTGGTGTGGTGGGTGCCGAGTGGTGGTGTGGTGGGTGCCGCGTGGTGGTGTGGTGGGTGCCGAGTGGTGGTGTGGTGGGTGCCGCGTGGTGGTGTGGTGAGTGCCGCGTGGTGGTGTGGTGGGTGTTTCGTGGTGGTGTGGTGGGTGCCGCGTGGTGGTGTGGTGGGGGCGGAGTGGTGGTGTGGTGGGTGCCGCGTGGTGGTGTGGTGGGTGCCGAGTGGTGGTGTGGGTGTTTCGTGGTGGTGTGGTGGGTGCCGCGTGGTGGTGTGGTGGGGGCGGGGTGGTGGTGTGGTGGGTGCCGAGTGGTGGTGTGGTGGTTGCCGCGTGGTGGTGTGGTGAGTGCCGCGTGGTAGTGTGGTGGGTGCCGAGTGGTGGTGTGGTGGGTGTTTCGTGGTGGTGTGGTGGGTGCCGCGTGGTGGTGCGGTGGGTGCCGCGTGGTGGTGTGGTGGGGGCGGCGTGGTGGTGTGGTGGGGGCGGCGTGGTGGTGTGGTGGGTGCCGCGTGGTGGTGCGGTGGGTGCCGAGTGGTGGTGCGGTGGGTGTTTCGTGGTGGTGCGGTGGGTGCCGCGTGGTGGTGCGGTGGGTGCCGCGTGGTGGTGTGGTGGGTGCCGCGTGGTGGTGTGGTGGGTGCCGCGTGGTGGTGTGGTGGGTGCCGCGTGGTGGTGTGGTGGGTGCCGCGTGGTGGTGCGGTGGGTGCCGCGTGGTGGTGCGGTGGGTGCCGCGTGGTGGTGCGGTGGGTGCCGCGTGGTGGTGTGGTGGGTGCCGCGTGGTGGTGTGGTGGGTGCCGCGTGGTGGTGTGGTGGGTGCCGCGTGGTGGTGTGGTGGGTGCCGCGTGGTGGTGTGGTGGGTGCCGCGTGGTGGTGTGGTGGGGGCGGCGTGGTGGTGTGGTGGGTGCGGCGTGCTTGTGTGGTGGGTGCCACGTGGTGGTGTGGTGGGTGCCGCGTGGTGGTGTGGTGGGTGCCGCGTGGTGGTGTCGTGGGTGCGGCGTGCTTGTGTGGTGGGTGCCACGTGGTGGTGTGGTGGGTGCCGCGTGGTGGTGTGGTGGGTGCCGCGTGGTGGTGTGGTGGGGGCGGCGTGGTGGTGTGGTGGGTGCCGCGTGGTGGTGTGGTGGGTGCCGCGTGGTGGTGTGGTGGGTGCCGCGTGGTGGTGTGGTGGGTGCCGCGTGGTGGTGTGGTGGGTGCCGCGTGGTGGTGTGGTGAGTGCCGCGTGGTGGTGTGGTGGGTGCCGCGTGGTCGTGTGGTGGGTGCCGCGTGGTGGTGTGGTGGGTGCCGCGTGGTGGTGTGGTGGGTGCCGAGTGGTGGTGTGGTGGGTGCCGCGTGGTGGTGTGGTGGGTGCCGCGTGGTGGTGTGGTGGCTGTTTCGTGGTGGTGTGGTGGGTGCCGAGTGGTGGTGTGGTGGGTGCCACGTGGTGGTGCGGTGGGTGCCACGTGGTCGTGTGGTGGGTGCCGCGCGGTTGTTGCGGCGTGAGCGGTGTGTTGGTGTGACCTCGCGGGTTGTGCCGTCCGGTCGTGCGGCGCGCTTGGCAGAACGCGGACCACTTCCCGTACCTGGAGGTGCTGGAGAGCGCGGTGCGCTGCGGCGCCGACGTGGCGGTGAGGCTGGACGCGCTTCCCCAGCTGCAGGCGCAGGTGCAGCTGGCGAGCGCCTGGCGCGAGCGCACGGAGCGCACGTTCCTGCGACGCCACTCGTCGTACTCCGTGCTGGAGGTGAGCGGCGCGAGGGTTTGGGACGCGCTGGTGAGGGGAGTGGAGCGCGTAAGCGAGCGGGCGAGTCCGTGGGAGGGTGACTGAGTAAGTTGGTGAGAGGGTGAGTGGGTGATAGAGCAAGTGAGTTGGTGGTTGGCAGGGTGAGAGGAGGGTGAGCGGTGTGGGTGGGAGGATGGGACGGTGCGTGCACGGTTGAGCGGGCAGGAGGATGATAAGCAAATGGGTTGATGGGTGAGCGAACGGTTTAGATGATAGTGAATTGAGTGAGTGAGCGTGAGGCCGAGTGAGTGTGAGTGGATGGGTGAGCGGGTGGTGGGCAGGTGAAAGATTAGGAGGGCGAGTGGGTGAGACGTTGAGCGTGCGGGAAGGTGAGCGGGGCGTGTCCAGTGGGTGAGCGACCCCGCCTCTGTTGAGCGAGTCCAAGTTGGGCGCCGTGTCTCGTGTTTCACTGGCTGACAGAAGTGGCGTTCGCTCACGAGTGAGGTTATGATCTGGCCAGAAGTGAGATCCCCCCGTACCCAATCTAGCGTCACATTCACATACAAAAGCCGCCTCCAGTGTTTTCCCTCTCATGAGTCCGCGACTCTCGCACAAACCAGGTGCTGAGTCCGCGCACTGACATCGGCGAGTACGGCAAGCGGCGCCCGAGAGGAGCTGCCGGCGACCCCAAGGCAGCGCCGCCCGCCGAGGTCACCATCGCCGACCTCCAGCGGCAAATCAAGGAGGCACGCGACCCCGACGCGGTGGTACGGTCTGACTGCACACCATCACTCACCGGGGGGGGGTTAGGAGGGCTGGCGGAATGCGCCATTCTGTTTCGGGGGTGTGGTCCGCCTTAATTTTAATTCGGATGAATTTTTTTAAAATGTTTAATGATAGAACGTTTTTCGCCTGGAAAATGCGTTGAGGTGAAACTTCACGTTTGCTAGGATTGTCCGGGAGAAAAGAGTCTTTTGGGTTATTTTAGTGCGAGTCATTATGGCCGTCCAGTGACATCATCGCGACGTTCTTTCACCAACGCAGTGACGCTGCTGCACAACCGACCAATGTGCTTGTCAGGAGAAGCAAACCACGTGGATCTCCTGAGATGCCCCGAAGCACCCACAATGCACTCTTCAAGATTTGGCAATGAAAACACCAGAAGCGGTGGCCTGTGCAGGTTATTGTGAAAAGACTAAATAGGTCGGACAGGAGACACGGCAAAGAAGAAAGACCCAATACTGTGGCGTCACCGGAGTGCTATGATGCGGTTTTAAAGTATTTTTAATTTGCTCGTAAATCAAGCTTTGAACTGGTGTCAGACAGCTCTGGACAGGCACAGTGTGTGTCTGTAAGATAACAGCGGTTTTGTCGAATACCATCACATTCAACTAGTTCCGGCACTTTATTTGGCTGAATTCTTGCTTTATCGCTATCATTGGTTGGCTTAATATAGAAAAATATATTTACATGGCTTATCAAGTTTTTCCAGGTCACACACCTACACAACAACAACAACAGCACTGCCACCACCGCCGCTATTAAGCGAGCCTCACCGGAACACAACGATCTCCGTCCCCCACTCAGGTCCAGTCGCTGAAGGATGCCGAGAGGAGGGAGGTGGAAGCCATACGCCGGCTGCGCACCAAAAACGCCAGCAAGCTGGTGCTGCCGCTCCCCACCAGCGGCTCGAGCCCGCACCATCACTCGCCCAAGGCCCTCGCCGGCCCCACGCCGAGACCACAACAGCCGGGCGACCCAGGCGGCGCCGTGAACAACGGCGACGCCGCCGATGGCGCCGCCGGCACCGGCGCGGCGGAGTTCTGCCTGTGCCGTCGCCCGGCGCGCGGCCTCATGCTGTACTGCGAGCTGTGCGGGGACTGGTTCCACTGCGGCACCTGCGTGCCGGCGCCGCGATCCGGCACGGGCCGGCGCCACGGGCCGGGCTACCGACTGCTGCGCCCGCTGGGGCCTCCGTTCCTGTGCCCCGGCTGCCAGCGCTCGCGCCGCCCGCGCCTCGTGGCCATCCTGCCGCTGCTGCTGGCGCTGCAGAAGCTGCCGGCGAGGCTCGCCGAGGGGGAGGCGCTGCAGCACCTCACGGAGCGCGCCGTCGGGTGGCAGGTGCGCGGCACCGGGCGAGATGGGCGGCGGTGGGGGGCCAAGTTGGGTTCTTGATGGGCGTGACGGAGCCATTGAGGTGACCCCTGGGTTCGAATCTGGACTTTGGCTGTTGCCCGCAGTTAAACCGGGAGGTGGCGGTCTCAGCTCGGTCACCGTTAACCGCCCGCGAAATTAATTAAGTAATGAAATATATAATTACATATCATTTTGACCAATGCTCTTTGTTAGAACGCCATCGGTAGGTGTGGATCGGAAGCGGTTGTGAAGTTGCCTAGTGCAGTGAGCACGGCAATAAACACGTAACGCACACACGTCTGACATCACGTGGCCCGGCATCACAAAATAAATTTACGCGGTCAGCTGGAAAATCTTACTGGATGAATCCTGAGCAAATGAATTAACGATTGTAGCTTTGCCGTCCTCCTCCCCCTTCCCCCCCCGTGTGATTGACTCTCCGACCAATCAGGAGCAAGCTCGCCAAGCGCTGGCGAAGGACGAGGTGTGGCCACTGATGACGACGGCCGACCAGGCCGACACCGACCCCGCGGCTGCCCCGGTACCGGCACCGCCGCCGGCGGGGGCAGGGACGGGACGGCTGTCGGCAGAGACAACGCGAGAACTGACGGAGCTGCTGGTGGAGGGCGGGCTGCTGGAGATGAGCCTGGAAGAGACTTGCCTCATCTGGAGGGTGCTGCAGGCCGCGCAGCCGGAGCACCTGCCCGGAGACATCACCTTCGGACCCGTGAGCACCGCCGCCTGCACCGGAGCCTGACCCCGGGGGGGGGGGGGCAAACCCTGAACATTTGAACCCTGGTTTCGATTTAATGCTTCTTTCGTTACTGCAGGGATTCATCTTCTCGGTTATTTCGGTAAAGTCACGTAGAAGGGAAATAATAGAATAATAAATCGAAACGTCGTGAGAATTTTATTGTTTTATATTATATGGGAAAGACAGCGTCTCATTCAGACGCTGTCTCCCCGACAGACCTGTTCTTCACCTGAGGACGGCTGCTTGCGTTGTGGCCGAAACGTCGTGAGAATTATTTTATTATATTTTATTTGTATTATTTTATTATTTCCCTTCTACGTGACTTTACCGAAAGACTTGAACCCTGGTTACCGAAGCCTGACCCCGATCTTTGACCCTGGATCCTGACCCCAACCCCTGACCTCAACCCCTGACCCCAACCCCTGACCCCAACCCCTGACCCCAACCCCTGAACGCTAGAGGTGACATCTCACGGAAACGTGATTTCTACATTGAATCGTAACCTCTAGCACCAACCCTTACCCCCCTCCCCCCAGGGCAATCCTTGACCCTGAGGGCAAAGCATGACCCCCACACTCATGACAGCTAGAGGGGACGTCTAAAATAAAATGTGATCCGATGATGATGATGATGAAACCCTGACCCCTAAGGGTGAAGTTGACCCCTAGAGGGGATATGGAGAGTAAACCACGATCCCCACAATAAACACTCATCCCCGCACCTACGTACGGTCCAAAATAAGTTAAACGTACGTACATAAAGCCCTGTGGCTGAACTCTGCGCCGTAGGGTCTGCCCTGACCCCTATAGGTAACCTCTAGAGTGAACCCTGACCCCTGACTTTAACCCACATCGTGGGATGCTACCGAGGTGCAAATGTTAGCGATCCAGACGGCACCGGTTTGATCTCCCGGCAGTGTATAAGTTGCTACGACGTAATATAGGTAAATGTATCAATAGCCTGCACGTGAAACTGGTACAATGTAGTCAGTCAATCGACAGGTCGCGTGTACAGATAGTGTGGGTACTGCGACGTCTTCCATTGCTTCTGGCCAGCGTTGGAAGAGTAGGCCAAATACGCTCTGGAGGGGCTGTCTAGAGCGGCCTCGGCCGTGAGTGAACAACAGTGGCACCTTTAGCTTTGCCCTCCGCACCGCTCTCCCGTTGGGCCAATGCAGCGAATGTGAGAGGCGACGCACGAGCGAGACAGAGACTGGAGCAATCGAGACTGACGGTGCGATTCCTGGCATTTTCGCCGGTTCCCTCCCTCCAGCGCGGCGAGGATGGCGCAGCGGGGACGGCGCAGGGAGCGAGTGGCGGCGGCGGCGACCACCGGCGCAAGCGGCGCGGCAAGGCCGAGCGCGGCACTGGGCGCGCGTGCCGCCGCCGCGACGCACGGCCCCTCAGCCGCCGGCAACATCGGCGACAGAAACAGCAGCGGCTGCAATGCTGCCGAGGACGACAACGCCGCCAGCACCCTCCTGAAGAGGCCCCGGCAGGACACGGAGGAGACCGGTGACGGGGCGACGGCTATGGGCGGCGCCGGCGGCGTTGTCGAGCGCCCGGCTCGCGAACAGGAGGAGGAGGAGGGGGAGGAGGGGGAGGTTTGTAACAACGGCGGGCCCAGCCGACTGCATCGGCCACTGGGGGTGTGCAACGGCGTGGAGAGATGAAGAGGTGGGGGTCCACGGGGGCCACGGGGGTGGCACGTGGGGGGGAGGGCCGGGGTAAGCGTTTTGGGACCGACGTCAAGAATTTAGTTTTTGTTTTTAGGTTCGCCGCCGCCGCCGCCGTCTTGGTCCTGTTTTGTTTTTGTAAGAGGCGTTGGTGCTCGCCGCGTCCTGTGAGCCGTGCGGCGTGCCGGCCTCGGTGCGGGGGGGGGGGGGAGTAGGAGGAGGAGTGAACTGAACGTAAGATAAAAAAAATAGAAAACTTTTATTTAGCAGTGCTTGTCTGAAACAAATCATTTCAGCCGTATTCCAACAGTGAAACCATCAGGAGAACTGTCCAGAGAAACATTCCCACAAGGCTCCCATCGTTCACAATGCAAAAAAAAGCACCCCAGCAGCCAGCAGCTTCTGCACGGGGTCGGTCCGATGGGGTCGGTCCGATGGGGTCGGTCCGATGGGGTCCGTCCGATGGGGTCCGTCCGATGGCGTCGATCGGCGTCGCGAGGGAGATGCCGCAAGAGAGACGCGCCGGACAGCGGGGGACGGTCCGTCGATCGGCGCACGACTTCGCCACATTCAAACGACGTCGGTGATATCGATGCAGAACTGTGACCTCCTTTCTTCCTCCTCATGGTTCCGATTGCTTCAGAACGCCACGCTCGCGGGGATGGGTGCAGTGCAAGGGGTCGCTCGGTGCTTTGGCGTTAACGTCCGGTGTGAATCAGAATCTCTATTCTGGAGAAATCCGATGAGCTATGAAGCTTTTTTTCACTGATGTCCAGTGGTGTGCCGTTCCCTCTGCTGCGCAAAGCTTCAATTCAGCCGTTTTCTACTGGGTCATGCGACCCGTAAATGATTCCGCACCCACCTCTCGGATAGTTCCCGCTCTGGCTGGCTGTGGCTACGCCGTCACTTTTCCACCTACCCGGTCTACCAGACACCCTAACGATATCCAAACAATGAGTCTGCGTGTCTGTGTGTGTGTGAGTGGGGATGGGGAACTATAGTGTGTAGTGGTTAGTGCGCTGGGCTATGAACCTTGCAACCAGCATTAAATTTCCCTTGGTCAGCTCAGCCTTAAATGAGTACCTGGTGCATTGTGTTATTATCAGGACTGGGGGAGACGTATAAAGGCGGCTAGGCGTGGTGCTGGCCACACCCCACCCCATTGTGCGTCGTTCCGGTCCTCATAGGCGCTCGCTAACAGCGCTTGCCTCGGCAGCGTGCGTCAACTCCATACGAGGGACCATTGTCTTGACGTGTGCGTGCGCGTGCGAGCGAGACGGAGCAGCTGGCATGGACCTATACACTGTAGCATCAACCGCCACGCTTACTCAGCTTTCATTTCACTGTTGTTACGAACACTCGACGCACACAACAGCAACGGGCGCAACAACGAAGGAGTAAATCGTGCATTTGTCTAGCGCCAACCTCGAAGCAAACTGCTTCGCTGCTGCTTCTACCGATTGTGGAGACCGACATCCCGCTGGCTCTGTCACAACCTCCACTGAAAAACAAGCATGGCCGGAGGAGGGTGGGGGGTGCGGGGGAGAGGGGGAGTGTGGGGAGGAGAGGCGCTCGGCCTGTGTGTCACCTCCCACCCTGGGGGGCGCCCCCTCGCTTGTCGGCCGTGGCTTTAAAACCAGCGACAGGCACCGCTGGCTGCTGTGATGGGGTTACAATTGTCACGATTGTTTGGTCGTTGTGAATAGTGGCGAAGCCGGTCGCGAGCGCTGAGCGACGTCGTCGTGAAAGTGGAAGCCACTTCCTCGTTTTTCATTTAACCCCGTTTGTCGTCGCTGTGGCTTTGCCGCCGTCTGGGGGAAGGCCGGCGGGGGTGGGGGGAGGCCACGGAAAGCCTCCCCCCCCCCCCCTCGCCACGCCTTGCTTGGCTGCCGACATTCGTGTGGGGGAGAAAGAAAAAAAAAGAGCACTTTTCGGTGGCGTAAAAACATCTTTCGTTTGCCCTCCGTTGCCGTCGTTCGGGATGCCCACGGCTACAACACGGAGGCAGGCGACAAGATCCAGCCAACACAAACCGACGGCAGCCTCGCCGACTACCATCGGACTCTCGCTTCGGGCGCGGCGAGTGTCGGCGTCTGACAGGCAGCGCTCGCCGAGTCAGTCCGGGGGCTTGCCGAACTCCCCAACGGAGCGGCAGATGCCACCGTGCGTCATCCTGCGTGCGGGGGGGGGGGGTGGTGGGTGGAGGAGCGGCCACCGGGAGAAGAAGACCGCCGCCGCCGCAGGGTTTGGCGTGCCGAGTGGAGCGTCTCGTCGGGTTTTGGTTTAGCCGCGCTTTCATCCGCCGGGTTGCGTTACGCCCCGTAGAATCGCCGCGCCCTTGTCGTCACCACCGTTATTGTCATCGTTATTCTTGTCATTTGTTGTCGTGTTATTTTGTTTGACTTGGCTGCCTCGTCATGACCTCGCTCGGCGGCGGGAACGAGAGCGGTCGTCGCCGATCGGGGGATGCGTTCACGATTAGCCATCGGTGATTTCGCGACGGCTGTCGCCGATACCGAAACGTTGTTCAAGGAGACGGTTAAGACGCACGCGTAGAGCAGAGCGCGGCTGTTAAAAACTCCCTCCAGAAAGCTTTACACGTTAACGACGTTCACTTTCGTCAGCTCTCTGTGGTGCGCTTCCGTGTCGAGCCGCAGCGTCGTTCAGCACGACGAACCGACCTTTCACTTGACGTGCTGCTGCTGCTGCAGGGGGAGCTTCACTTCCTGGAGCCTCTTCGGAGCTTCTCTACAGTTCGATTCCTCGAGTAGCTCCCGGTACCTGGAGGGAAATGGGGGAAGCACCGGGGCATGCCGAGCGACGACGACAACGACGACGACGAGCGGTTTGACCCGTAAGCGCATCCGGAGAGCTGTACAGCAGAGGTCGCAACCGGGTACCCGTACCCTACCCGATACCCGTCTACCCGTACCCGGCCGGGTATCGGGTAGCCGTTTGCGACCCTGGTGCGGCCGGGTACGGGTAGGGGTAAGGAATCAAAACCCGTTTGCGACCTCTGCTGTACAGCAAAACCGCAACCGCAAAAAAAAACCTTCGCTCGCTCTCGTCTTGTTCACTCTTCAACCGTTTAGCAGCATTAGCGTCGTCTCGTCGGCCTGTTGCGGCCCTCTCCTGCCCGTGCGCTGGTCTCTTGCCGCTTTCCTCACCGGCGCCCGGTTGACATTTGGTTGCACTCCGGCGTTGGGAGGCCACCGCGCGCCGAGCCGGATTGTGTTGTTTTGTTTTTGTTGCATTGCCGGCGCAGAGGAGTGGCGGCTTACGGCTGCGTTTGAACCGGTGTCGCCGCTCCCTTGCGGTGTTAGAAGGCCTCCCCCCCCCCACCCCATCCCCTAAGCGGAGGAGTGCACGCTGTGACAACTGGGGTTGCCACCTGTCACGGTTTTCCCAGGACGGTACTCTTTGACACTTGAGCGGCAGCTGCCTCTCCTGGGAAACCTGTCAAAAGTCTTCCCGGGGCATTAACAGTCACCAGTCACGCTGTTTTGTCGCTGCGCAACAATAATGACACCAATTACTCAAGGCCATATATTCACATGGAGTCCGCCCCCCCCCCTCTTCCGGCAATGCGAGTTATTGTTGTGCCCATGATATGTTCCGTTTTTTTGGTACCTCGGAGGTGGCAACCCGAGCTGACGTCACCAGCTGTGTTGTGTGGGACACTGGCCATGTGGGTGGTGCCACCGGTCGGCACGTCTGGTGGGATGGGTGGGGCAGTGGGGGGTGCGCGCTAAATGGAGTCGCCACTTGGTGGGAGGGGGAAATCGGAAAGGAGCCGGGCAACTCTGCCGATGTGAAGTCGGCAAAACCTCGGCGCAGATCTCCACTCCCCCACGTCCGCTGGTGGGGACCGGCGCCCGATGGTTCGCCGAAAAGTGCCGGGCGCTTCTCCCGAGGAGCCCCCGAGGTTCAGTTGGTGGCGTGGCGGAAGTGGCGCTGCGCGCCGCTTTCGGCACAGGCCCCCAAACTCACGGCGTCGGGGGAGAGCAGCTGCCACGGCAGCGCGACCGCACGGAACCGTCCCCGTGCTGTGGTGTGGCCGGCGAAGTAGGGGGGAGCGGGTTGGGTAGGGGGCGGCTCCACACGGCGCGCAGCAAAGGGACTTGGGGGGAACGCGACGGTCGATGTTTGTCGCGCTGTTGGTGGTCTGTAATACACGAGGAGTGTGCTATGGATGTACACGAGGGTGTCGTTTAGCGTGTTGCCCGTACGACTGGGGGCCGGTCGCTCTCCATCGTGGCCGAACTGAAGGCTGTGACATCTGCTGTTCTTCCTGCCCCACCGGTGTGCCAGGTCGCCCCCACTTTGCACCACCCCCCCTCTCCCCGTTGTGTCGCCTATGGACACAGCTGGCATCTCGTACAGCTGTGCCGCACGTGGTGTTTTATATACACACGCACACGGACAGCCGGTGTCGGGACACGGCTAGTGTTACGCGTGTTGTGACATGCGCCCAGACGGCTGATGTAACGTTCAGTGTCACACGCAGTAAGACGCACAGCCGATGTTACCGTGACACGCACATAGCCGTGTGTGACACGGCTGGTGTCACACGCAGAGCTGGTGTGACACTTAGAGCCGGTGAGATTCCTGTGCGCGTCACCGCAGCCCTTGATCCGCACGAGACTGCGTGTCCTGGATGGCCCAACTGTGGCTCCAGTGTCCACGAAGCAGGATTCTTTGGTCGAGGAGGTGGATTGTGAATGTGACCCCCAGTGTCCAGAGATTCTGGTATTTCAATTCAGTCGGTGTGATTGCAGCAGCAGCAGCAGTCTACCCACTACCCGTGAGCCGTCGCCATCTCTCGCGGCACTGCAACGTAACGGGATGTTCTGCGTGCGTGTGGCCTGTCACGGTTTCCTGGGACACATCTCGTTTCGATATAAATGTCCCGTCTGGCAGCGGCAGCAGCAGCAGCGGTGGTTTTTTGCGGATTGCGTTGGACAGTTGCGAGCGTCTCTCCATCGCAGTGGGCTGAGCCTCACGTTACGCAGGCGCACACCCCCCCCGACCCCCCGCTGGTCGACTGGTGGTGATGGTGCTGGTGCTTTGGTGATGGCAGTGGTGCCGCTGGTGGTGCTGGTGGTGGTGACACTGATGCTGGTGGTGATGATGATGGTGGTGATGATGGTGGTGATGCCGGTGGTGGTGGTGCTTTGGTGATGGCAACGGTGCTGCTGCTGGTGACACTGATGCTGGTGGTGATGGTGGTGGTGCGGTGGTGGTGGTGGTGCTGGTGGTGCTAATGGTGGTGGTGCTGCTCGTGGTGGTGGTGCTGTGGTGGTTTTATCCGGACATACAAGTGGATGGCAGGTGCAGTAGAGCAACTTCGAGTGTATTACTATTATTACTATTATATTCCTAACCCCATACCGTTCTCATCACTACTTTTGTGCATATTAGTATGCCTATATTAGTATGCAAAGAGTCATTAGATATCCATTTTCACGTTTTATTTAAAACTCGTGCAGTTTAAGCTGTTACTCTTTTTTTTGTAAGTTACCAAAAAGGATAAAACAAATAAACGGTGCCGCAGACGGATCTCCCCCCCTCCCCCCCCGCGTGTCGCCGCGTGTAAGATAACCCGCGTGTACAAACACCGTCGTGTTCGTGAATAAATATCGTACTGATGTTGCCCGTCGTGGGGTGGTCGCTCCTCCTCCTCTGCTGCTGTCTGGACCTCATAATCAACGTTTTTTGGGTTTAGATGGCATTATTTATAAATGTGTCGTAAGCCTTCACCACCCGACACGGCCAATCAGTAAAAAAGTGTCACGTTGACGAAAGACAAATAAATTCTTGGTTCTTTCGGTAAAGTCACGTAGAAGGGAAATAATAATAAAATTATAAAAATAAAACATAATAAAATAATTCTCACGACGTTTCGGCCACAACGCAAGCAGCCGTCCTCAGGTGAAGACCAGGTCTGTCTCCCCTGCAGTCACGAAAGCTTTAAATTGAAAAGACAAATAGTTCACTGCTTTAGCACACCGGTGCAGTGTTGAAGCGTGAAACCACAACCTGGACCTGTCGGCGGCTCCACCGCGGCTGTCCACGGGTGTAGGCCCTCCAGCAAGCCGAGGCGAGAGGCACCTTCCGCCTCTCCTCTGCCCACGACCGACTCGTCACTTACTCTCTACCAACACTCGCACTGCTAGGAACCTCCTGGTTTCACCAGCCCACAGGGGATTATTGCGTCCGTCCGTTGTGCGTCCAAAAATGGGAGGGGTGGGGCTGGGTTGGGAGGGTGGGGAGAGGAGGGGCTGGGTGGGGCTGGGTGGGGAGGGGCTGGTCACCCCGTGGTGCCCTTATAAAACTCAACGTTTAACCTACTCACGCCGGCTTGTGCTCGCCCTCAGTCGGGCATATTTGCGGAATACACCACGCCGCCATTGACCGAGCAACCCAACGTTCCTACCAGCTCCCACCGCAGGAATGTGTTTAATTGGCTGAAACCATCTTGATATAGAGAGGACCGCACAACTTGGGCAGTGGTTGGTGGTGGTGGCTTCCCGCTTGTCTGTGGTTCCTTCTCGCACCTCCCGAGTTCTCGCTCTCCGAGTGAGTGAAAACTGTGCGGCGCTTTACACATTGGGATGATTCTAAAGTAAACATTTGTCCTGAGATGCACTCAGGTTTAGACGTTTTGTAAATCCACATTGTATAGACCTGCACAGACCCATGGACTCATCTTGAGACCCTCCCGACTGAAGTAGAGACCAACAACCGACGTCAATCTTGATTTGAAGCTTTCGTGACTGCAGGAATCCATACTCTTTGGTTCTTTCGGTAAAGTCACGTAGGTAGAAAATAAAATAGATCACGACATTTCGATCGCAACACAAGCGTCCGTCATCAGGTGGAACAGATACAGCAGGAGAACTGCTGACATAGGAGAAAGAGCTGATGCAACACGAGGTGATATAGGATGTTAGTGGACTCAACCCAAGGGTAAGTGAGCGGAGCTCGAGAGATTAGCAGTGTCAATGTGAGCTGGTCCCAGCCACCGGAGGTGGTGGGGATCCTCCTGTGGCCGGGCTGCCTCGGATATTTCGCCTGGTGATGTACTCAAGTTGGAAATAACAGCTGACATAGGCAGGTCGGATGGAAACATCACAGTCGGTTAAGACTTTACTTGGTTAATAAGTTCCTCAGTTTGTATCCATCTTCAAGAAGATATATATCTGGATGGCTTCATGAAAAAATCTCTGATAAAGCCGGTGGATTTTGCAGAGTACCTTTGTCTTGGAAAAATCGATTTCGTGTGAGCCCGCAGCGTTAAAACAATGATCAGCAACGGCAGAGGTGTTGGTGCTACCAGACTGACGTCAGCCTATACGTTTTTTTATTCATCTTCTTGGTTATTTCGGTAAAGTCACGTAGAAGGGAAGTAATAAAATAATAAAAATAAAATAATTCTCACGACGTTTCGGCCACAACGCAAGCAGCCGTCCTCAGGTGAAGAACAGGGCTGTCGATAAGACAGTGAATGACACATCCTAGGCTTGGATCATTCCTGCATTTCCCATAAATATGCTAAATTCCTCTTCATATGCAACTTATTTTGTCAAGGCGCTCTTCCTCCTCCCTCCCAGCTTAAATAGACACTCCAAGCCTAGGACGTGTCATTCAGACTCTTGTCTTATCGACAGACATGTTCTTCACCTGAGGACGGCTGCTTGCGTTGTGGCCGAAACGTCGTGAGAATTATTTTATTATGTTTTATGTTTATTATTTTATTACTTCCCTTCTACGTGACTTTACCGAAAGAACCAAGAAGATGTGCCATAAAAGTTACGCTAGTTTGGTCTGTCACAGCTGTACCCAGTTATTGTTACGCTAGCTTACCCAGAAAAGCCTCGGCGAGTCTCGAGACTTATTTTTAGGAGTGTCCTGCCGAGAGTTTCTCAGAGCAACGTTGCTACTGTTTGTAAACCCCAGTGGAGCAATTTGCTGGAATTTTGTTCCGCATTGAGGGTGTTTGGCCCATACCAGTCACACTGCCACTGGGACTGTTTAGCTGGCGACGGCCCCGCAGGATTTGACGTCGTCGCTGGCGACAAAACTGCACAGAGAAAATGATCACGCGGCAAGTTTCCATTGTCCAGAGCAGTGATTTTTATTTGTTTTAAGTTACATAATCAGGATAGGGGTTAAGATGTGCAGAACGGCGCAGGCCTTAAAAGCGTTGCGAGGTTCAAAACCCGGCAAGGTTAACGACTCGCAGTGAAAGCTTATAGCCACGTTTCATGCAAAACAGTCCTTGAATACGACAGCCAGCTGCATTGGAGTGGGGGAAGATGGAGGAGAGACGGTTGGGGTGGTGCAGACATGAAGCTGTGTGGGGGTTAGGGAGGGGTGTGCCAGACTGATTTAGACAAATGCTCCTTTGTGTCCCAAGGCTAAATGGAGGCAGAGCGTACGCATTGAGAGGAAATCTGCTTGTGTGCCATGTGTATCTTGTGCAAGTATGCTGTAGTGGAGGTACGCATGTGTACCCCAAGTGCGCATGTGCAAGCCTTTATCTGTGTCGCAGTGGTTAGCAGGCTACACTCCCAACCCGCGTCTGCCAGGAAGATATGAACTGGTCGCGGGCCTTGCCCTAGCTCGACTGTGCCGTTGGCTTTCATCGGTGCTCGCTAACAGCATTTACCCCAACAATCCATTATGTTTATACTGTGAGGGAGTGGGTGGGTGGGGAGGATCTTTGTATGGTGTGCGACCTGGCCTGCTGCCCCGTGTGCGTGTTTGCTCCTACATCGCTCGCTCGCTCCCTCTCCCCGCCCCGCACTACATCGTGCGGTGCAGGTCGTTGCGCTGCACCTGCTTGATCACCGACTGCACCATGTCCACCGTGGTCGCCTGCCCGCCGATGTCCGGAGTGTGAATCTGTGACGGCGGAAAGCGGCAGTGTCACTCGGGTTGCCAAAACCACAGACTTGACCACGGTTTTAAAATTCTTATTCTTTTTTCCCTCCCTCACCTCTCGCTCCCGGGGTTTTTATTTATAAAAATTGTTTATCACGGCCGTGCGGCTCAGCGATAGAGCGAGCGGCCCCCCAGGCGGATGGGTGAGTTCACATCCTGTTTGGGTTAACGAAGGCCCATCATCCTTTCAGGGTCAATAAAATAAGTATCACTCATTGTGAAGTCAACAGCGGTTGTCTGATACCGTAGGAATGTGAAATTTCCACCACTGGCTCTGCATGGCTGTAAGCAAGACATAAGCACCGAAGCCGCGAGGCTCATTAAGAGCAACAAAAAAATAACGTTTGGCTTTGGACGAAAGAAAGCGCTTGCTGACGTATTCGTGCTTTTTAAAAATATAAACAAATTCTGCCCTCGCCGTGAAGAGACGGGGGTGTGCCCACATTCGGCCCGCTCGCAGAGCAGCGCCTCACCCCCCGTGTGAGCGAGCGGCCCGCGGAAGGAGACATCACAGAACTACTTCTGAGATCCCTTCAAGTGACCTCATCTGCAAACGAGCGACGCTTCACTCGCCCACCCGCCAAGAGTGACGTTCATCAGACTATAGTAGTAGGTTTTTACCCTTTTAAACTGGTACAAAACTGACACCTTTATCAGCTTTGTACCAGTTTAAAAGGGTAAAAACCTACTACTATATTTTGCCACTGGTAAAAGAGATCTCATAGTTCATCAGACTGTTGTCAACGTTCAACTCCCCTCGACCGCCGCCACGGCCACGCACCTTGTACTCGCTCACGGTGTTGAGCACCGCGCTCCGGATCAGCTCGGCATATTTGCCCAACCTGGGACGGACGGAGGAAGGAAGACAGAGACTCGGTGATGAGTGGGAAATGTATGGGGATGATGGCGATGTTTGTGGTGAATAGATGTGATAAGAGTGATGACAGTGGTGAGTATGTTGAATTTCTTTGGCACTGTACTTGATGATGATGATGGTCACAGTGACAATTATGTTAGCGATTACGGTGTTTTTTCGTGGCGGTGATGATGATGGCGGTGATGGTGATGATGGCGGTGATGGTGATGATGATGATGAGGTGATGGTGATGATGGGTGATGATGGCGGTGATGGTGATGATGGCGGTGATGGCGGTGATGATGGCGGTGGTGATGATGGCGGTGATGATGATGATGGCGATGGGTGCTCACTTGAGGTGCTCCAGCATGAGGCAGCTGGCCATCAGCATGGCCGTGGGGTTGGCGACGTTGCGACTCGCAATGCTCTTCCCCGTGTTGCGCGTCGCCTGCGAACACGCGCGCAGATTCACGCACATTCACGCACATTCACGCACATTCACGCACATTCACGCACATTCACGCACATTCGCGCACATTCGCGCACATTCGCGCACATTCGCGCACATTCACGCACATTCACGCACATTCACGCACATTCACGCACATTCACGCACATTCACGCACGTTCACGCACGTTCACGCACGTTCACGCACGTTCACACACGTTCACACACATTCACACACAACAACGGTCCCCCCCACCCCCCTCCCCTGTGGCCTTAACAGACCGGAAGGGCAAATACTGTTAGCGAGTAGCACTGATGAGAGATGGCAAGGGGCACGCACAAGGGGGTGGGTGGCCAGCACCACGCGCGGCCGCCTTCGTCTCTCCAGTGCTGAAAGTTTACT